AAATCTCAAACTTTTTATTCATCTATTAATATGCACATTCATAACTATTCTCACTAATGATAGAAAAAACAAAGAAATTTAGAACTTGAAAAATCAAGACACTTGCAACAAAGCAAATGATGTAATTTGATACTCAGATTTATTATAACTTACCTCTATAATTTATTCAGAAAAATATTTTATACATACAGTAGGACCTTGATATGATGACGCTGTCAAATTGGACAGAAACATCATAAATTACAAGATGTCATTATATCGGAGATAAAATTCCTTCAGTACAAGTGTTTGTTACATTAGACTCTAATTTCAGGCCGAGTTTTAGGTTAATATTATAGGGAGTAACGGGGTGTGATGTGTGCGTGCCTCCTAACACGATTTTTGTCTTTTTTTTAGCCATTATTCGCTCCTTAACAAAGAAAAATAATTCTTTTCATATATAAACACTTTATTCACTTAAAAATATTGAGAAAGAAGATAAAAAAAATAACATTAAATAAAATAAATAAATAAATTAAAAATAATCAAAATTTATCTATTTATTAGCTATTATTCGCTATTTCATAAAGGAAAAATAGTTATATCGATATACAGAACACTTCATTCATGCTAAATTGTTGAAAAGTATAATAAAAAACATAATATAAATAAATAAAAAAATTTAAAGCCGATCCTTGCAGGGTATCGAACCCAGGACTTCCGGGACTACATAGCATCCTTGCCCACATCGCTACCAACTGCACCACGCTTCACATACCTGCTCCGCATATATTTTGCTTAAAGCACCTCTTCCCGGTTAGTCAACAAAACATATTTTGGAACATTGTGGGCCCCCTAATTAGTCCATAAAAAATTCCTTTAGTTCAATTGTTTGTTACATTAGACTCAAATTTCAGGCCGAGTTTGAAATTTATAGGTTAATAATATAGGGAGTAACGGGGTGTGATGTGTGCGTGCCTCCTCATACGACTTTTGTCTTTTTTTCAGCCATTATTCGCTCTTTAACAAAGAAAAATAGTTCTTTTCATATATAAAACACTTTATTCACTTAAAAATATTGAGAAAGAAGTTAAAAAAAATAACATTAAATAAAATAAATAAATAAATAAAAAAATTCAAAATTTATCTGTTTATTAGCTATTATTCGCTATTTCATAAAGGAAAAACAGCTATTTCGAAATATAGAACACTTCATTCACTATAAATTGTCGAAAGGTATATTAAAAAACATAATATAAAATAAATAAAAGAAATTTAAAGCCGATCCTTGCAGGGTATCGAACCCAGGACTTCCGGGACTAAATAGCGTCCTTTCCCACAACGCTACCATCAGCTCCACGCTTCACATACCTGCTCCGCGCATATATAGCTTAAATTACCTCTTCCCGGTTTGTCAACAAAACATATTTTAGAACATTGTGGGCCTACTAATTAGTCTATAAAAAATTCCTTCAGTACAAGTGTTTGTTACATTAGACTCTAATTTCAGGCCGAGTTTGAAATTTATAGGTTAATATTATAGGGAGTAACGGGGTGTGATGTGTGCGTGCCTCCTAACACGACTTTTATCTTTTTTTCAGCCATTATTCGCTCCTTAACAAAGAAAAATATTTCTTTTCATATATAAACACTTTATTCACTTAAAAATATTGAGAAAGAAGATAAAAAAATAACATTAAATAAAGTAAATAAATAAATTAAAAATAATCAAAATTTATCTATTTATTAGCTATTATTCGCTATTTCATAAAGGAAAAATAGTTATTTCGTTATACAGAACACTTCATTCACGCTAGATTGTCAAAAAGTATATTAAAAAACATAATATAAAATAAAATTAGAAAAAAGTAAAGCCGATCCTTGCAGGGTATCGAACCCAGGACTTCCGGGCCTGCATAGCATCTTGCCCACAGCGCTAACAACTGCACCACGCTTCACATACCTGCTTCGCGAATATATAGCTTAAAGTACCTCTTTCCTGTTAGTCAACAAAATATATTTTGGAACATTGTGGGCTCACTAATTAGTCTATAAAAAATTCCTTCAGTACAATTAATTGATACATTAGACTCTAATTTCAGGCCTTGTTTGAAAATAATAGGTTAATATTATAGGGAGTAACGGGGTGTGATGTGTGCGTGCCTCCTGATACGACTTTTGTCTTTTTTTAAGCCATTATTCGCTCTTTAACAAAGAAAAATAATTCTTTTCATATCTGAAACACTTTATTCTCTTAAAAATATTGAGAAAGAAGTTAAAAAAGTAACATTAAAAAAAATAAATAAATAAATAAAAAATAATCAAAATTTATCTGTTTATTAGCTATTATTCGCTATTTCATAAAGGAAAAATAGTTATATCGTTATACAGAACACTTCATTCACGCTACATTGTCGAAAAGTATATTAAAAAACATAATATAAAATAAAATTACAAAAAATTAAAGCCGATCCTTGCAGGGTATCGAACCCAGGACTTCCGGGACTGCACAGCATCCTTGCCCACAGCGCTAACAACTGCACCACGCTTCACATACCTGCTCCGCGTATATTTAGCTTAAAGCACCTCTTCCCGGTTAGTCAACAAAACATATTTTGGAACATTGTGGGCCTACTAATTAGTCTATAAAAAATTCACTTTGTTCCATTGAATCTTTTCATAATTCATTCAACCACAATCCATTTCGGGTTTATCGTCGGCCAGCAACGTATAATAGCATCCTAATCATGTTACATGTTTGACGAAATACTTGGAAGTCCGCATGCGCATCTACTGAGCTGTGTTCGGTGAGATTATTGCACTCTGCTGCATTTTGCATCATATTCTTCATTTTCCACTCTCTGAAATTGAACCAAAAATGCGAACCTATGGGAAACTATGTGAAACTATGCGAAACTATGTGAAACTTTCTGAAACTATGCGGAACTATGCGAAACTATGTGAAACTATGCGAAACTATGTGAACTTAGAAACTATGTGAAACTATGCGAAACAACGCGAAACTATGTGAAGCTATGCGAAACTATGTGAAGCTATGCGAAACTATCTGAAACTATACGAAACCATGCGAAACTAAGCAAAACTATGTGAAACTATGTAAAAATATGTGAAACTATGCGAAACTGTGTGAAACTTTATGAAACTATGCGAAAGTATATGAAAAAAGGCGAAACTATGTGATACTATACGAAACTATGTAAAACTCTGCGAAACTTTGCGAAAGTATATGAAAAAATGCGAAACTATGTGAAACTACGCGTAACTATCTGAAACTATGTGAAACGATGCGAAACTATGAGAAACTATGCGAACTTAGAAACTATGTGAACATAGAAACTATGCGAAACTATGTGAACATAGAAACTATGCGAAACTATACGAACTTAGAAGCTATGTGAACATAGAAACTATGCGAAAATATGTGAACTTAAAAACTATGTGAACATAAAAACTATGCGAAAATATGCGAAACTATGAGTAACTATATGAAAACATGCGAAACTATATGAAACTATGCGAAACTATATGAAAATATGCGAAACTAAGTGAAACTATCTGAAAGTATGCGAAACTAAGTGAACTTAGAAACTATGTGAAACTATGCGAAACTATATGAAACTATGCGAAAGTATATGAAAATATGCGAACTTAGAAACTATGTGAACATAGAAACTATGCGAAACCATATGAAAATATGCGATACTATGTGAACTTTGAAACTATGTGAACATAGAAACTATGCGAAAGTATATGAAACTATGTAAAACTTTGCGAAACTATGCGAACTTAGAAACTATGTGAACATAGAAACTATGCGAAACTATATGAAAATATGCGAACTTAGAAACTATGTGAACATAGAAACCATGCGAAAATATGTGAAACTATGCGACACTATCTGAAACTACGCGAAACTATCTAGAACTATATGAACGTAGAAACTATGAGAACATAGAAACTACGCAAAACTATGTGAACTTAGAAAATATGTGAAACTATGCGAAACTATATGAAAATGTGCGAAACTATGCAAAACTATGTGAAACTTGTTACATTGGTCTTTGGCTAAGATGTGATATTCTCAAAAAATACTTCTTGTCACGGCATACTTTTAACGATTTTGAAATTTGACCAACACAAAGAAAAAAATAAGTTGTTTACTTACCCGATAATACACTGTGTAAAAAATATTTTATGGTAATAATTTTGAATAGAAAATAAGTACTACAAAAACAAGTTTATTATAAAGGATTAATTAGCTCTTTCAACTTATGCAGTTCAATATCACGTTCTTTCCCTCGCATATCTTAATAGTTCTTTTATTTTGTTTTTATTAAGTTATTTTACTTGTTTGTTTTTACTAGCTATTTATCCTTAGATTTTTAACATTGTTATTTCTTTGTGATTCCTTGTTTTTTTTTTGCAAAATATTAATTGTTAGCTTGTTTTGTTTTTTTGATAATTTGTTTTTATAACAATTAATTGCAGAGCTTATTTAAATTGTTAGCTTTTATTTCCTTTTGTAAGTTAATATTTAGCTCGCATAGCTACTTTCGTCAATTAGTAATTTTAATAGTCATTAAATCTCCTACTTATTTCAGGATTGTCAGAGACAGGAGTATTGTCGACTAAGATGTTTACACCGTTAAAGAGTGGAAAAATTATATATATACTTTTCTCTAATTTAAACTTTACTCGTCATAAAAAAAAAGGAATTATAATTTCTAAAATTTGGCAGCACACTAAAGTGCACAGTCTTATTATAAAGTTTTCCTTCCAGTTTTACAATAATCATTCATTGTTTCTAAAGATTAAAATCAGACAACAAGAAATGGGGATTAAATATGTATAATAAAAGCATTCCTATATATATTATATGTATAATAAAAAAATTCCTTTAATGTATTATGAAAACTGTTAAGCTACAAACTTATTGTAACAAACATCAAATATGTGTGCAGAATAAATTATGTTAGACCACAATAAGTTCCACCAACACATAAAGTGAAATAAAGAATTTATTTGCATCTCTATGAACACCATCAACCAAGTAATTCAAATATTAATTAGATACATTACAAGGTGAATTTAATAAAGAAATAAAAGAGGGGAATATTAGAAGAGTAACATAAAAGTTAAGCAGTATAAGATAATATAGAAATCAATTCATTTTAAAGGAAACTCCAATTAGACTGGATATAATTTGATAGTTATTTCAATACAATTTATTCTTTAGTTATCAAAGTAATAAAGGAAATGTAAAATTATTTTTAGACAAATCATTTCATTTAAGAAGGATCACCAGTGTCAAAATATAAATCAAGATTATTCAAGAACATATTTTTTACCTTATAGAATCTTATGTGTATTGTATGACATAATTATCATAGCATGGTGAAGACCTTTTTTAATTTGGTAGATAACAGTATGTATTTTGGGGGTATTTTCAGTCCATTCATTTGAAAAGCAATTTAGTTATGTTTCAAAGTTATTTAGTTATGTTTCAGTTGGATTTCTGTTAAATGCAAGTCCAATTTCTTTGGTATTTTCTTTTTTCATTTCTACTAATTAAAATTTTAAAAAATAAGTTTTGAAAGATACTTAGCAAAAAATGTTTTAAGAATATTGATACAACATAATATTATAATTCCATACATCTTAAGCAAAATAAATATGAAAATTGTCTAAATTTCTACTTCACAATATATATTCAACTATTAATATCTAAATATTTCACTCTGAAACAACTTTAATTTATATAATTGGATGCAATTGGACAAATTCCTGGTTGCTTGCTATTTTTGAAGATCTTGTTATTCTAAGACATGTCACCTCAATATATAATTGACACACTTTATTTTGACATGTTCCAAGTGTGTTTGTCTGGGAGATTTTTGAGAAGAAGGTTGAAAGGATCGATTCAACAATTTTCTTCAATACAATTTGATTCTCTCCTATTATATGCCTTACTTAAAGGCAAATATAAATTTTTGTTAGAGAATATTATGGGCATACATGTCAGGTGAAAAGTGCAGCTTAATAAATATCTCTTCTTTCATTTTATTGAATTAATTTTTATTTCAACTTTTATTAAAAGGCATAGGAATTAATTTTACATACGGAATAATGGAATTTTTATTTATAATATTCTAGTAATGAAGTAAATTATTCTTTAGCTCGTGTGCAGGAAATAAGCTTTACTTTATTGATAAATAATTTTATTCTAATATGCTCTATTTGTTTCTTCTGTCTTTTCTAAATATATATTTCATTTACAACAAAAAAATTACATACTTATGAATAATACCATTAAGTTTATTAGGTAATCAATCAAACAATCAAAGGGCAAACAATCAAAATTTTTATGTGAAACAGGTGCATACAATTGTGGTTTGCAGTGAGTTAAATAAAAGCTTTAAAATCAAATAAGTAGTTCATCAATTAGTTAGTAACAAACTATGAATTGCATAGAGGTGTATTGTAACAATATCAGTATTGGTACATGCAATCTTTTTAAACATATTCTATTTTAATTTTTAGCTTTCTCGCAAATTAAGACTTATTTAAATCACAACTATTTATGTTTGATAGTATATTAAAATAATTACATAAATAAATATGTACATAATGATTTCTAAATTGTAAAGAAAATTTTATTACAAATTTATTGTCTGCTGTACCATTACATAAAGAAAAAAGTATTATCTTCATGGTTTTTACCTCTGTTGTGTCAAAAACCAATTAGCAAAAAAAATAATAATAATCCTTTAAGAAAATAAATTTTTTTTTTTTTAATCAAGCCACTATATTGACTAAGTCTATTAAAGGAATGCTCTCTAAATGTAACTTTTAAAAAAATTCTGTTTAATGCTACTTGAATGTAACTTTATAGGGTCCCTTTAAAGTTGTTAAATAGAGAGCCAACTGTAATATTATTGATTTCATATAATTTATTTACTATTTTAAATTTCCTTAAAATATTGAAAAAATAAATGACACACATTTATTCATAACGCAAATCATAAATGTACATGAGAATGGCATTCTCTCTTATAGCTTTAATTACTATAAGGCACTATTTTTATATAAAAATGAATATTTACATGTATGAAATATAAACAGTGATTATAAAAAATATATTCTACTTGATATTGCGCATTTACAAATGAAAAACTGGTGAAATAAATGAAGTTAAGTAATGTAATAAGATTATGCAATACACTATATACATAAAATAAATATTTTAGAAAAATTCTCAGTACATAAATAAATTTAAAAACATTGGTAAGTTCATATTATTTTAACACATTTTGCAAATCATCGGGCAAAGTTGCAATAATGGCACTGACTTGAGATTGCAGTTTTTCAGCTGTTCTTTTGGGTAATGAAAGGTTTCCACTTTCAACTACAGCCTAGACAAGAAAATAAAAACAAAAAATATTTTAATAGTAAACACTGTAAAGAACAATTAATTTTTTAGTGTCCCTTACAATTTCTGCTCGTAATTGCTTTTCAGGGAAACACACAATACCAAATTCAGTGTTTAAATTTAAAAAAAGCCTTGGGACTAATTTCCATTAAATGCTGTGCGGGTACCTGAATATTAAAATTTTAATTGTTATGATAGTTTTTTTTCCACTGCAGGGTTTCCACTCTTTCAAACAAGCAAAAATTAAGCCCTTTTAAGGAATTTTTCTGAAAAAATTAAGTACATTTTTGAAAAATTAAAGACTTCAAAAACAGTATGATTGTTTATCATTGAATATACATATGCCACCAGTGAAAATGCAAATTATTTACCTTTCTAAAAATATCAATAAATAAAGAAAAATAATAAAAAAGACAATTTTATTATAGTGTAAGCACTGATATAATTGTATTAATTAACAGAGTTTGCCAAAGAAGTAACAAGCAATTTCTGCAAACCAGAGTCGGGCTTTTTTAAAATATTTTCAGATTGTTAAAAGTTGACGTCATTCAGATTGTTAAAAGTTAACATATGAAACTAATCTGCATTCCATTTTTAATGATTTCATAGAAATTGAATTGTAAAATTATGTGCAGAAATTAATATTTGCAATTTTTTTTCATGTATATTAAAAGAAAGAGTAAATAAAGAAATTTGGAAAAAACATTGAAACAATTATTTCAACAAGATCTTAAATTTCGCCACTAAAACAGCCAGTTATATTTACTTCTATGATGAACTTTAACAAAAATATTTCCAGCCAAACCTGTTATTAAGAATTAACTTTACATAAGTTAACTAAACTTCTGGCAAAAAACATGAACTAATTTTAAAGCAACCAAAAATTGAACAAAAATTAAAAACAGTATATTAAGTTGCAATGTTAACTGAATAAAATGATTATTAAAATCTAAGGATCGTTTAGTTGAGTAGATTTGAATTTTTATGTAACAATCTGCTTATCCTTAAATAAAAATAATAGCGTAACAATCTAAAACTTTAAAAATAAATTTACATTTCAACAAAACAAATTATAAGTAGCTACCAAATATTTAACATTTTTGTTAGAAGTTTGTTACATTCTTTCTTATTTAGTACTCAGGGGAAAAAAATTTAAAGTATTTTTGGGAAAAAAACTTGTAGGTTTTCACCAAAAACCCACTAAACCCCATGTTTTGGATGAAAAACCTAAGTGGGCTGGGATTTTTCAAACCCTGTTTCTTACAAATCTGTTTAATTTTTAGTACAATCATGAATTATCATTGAAATATTATACAAATTTAATTCTTCAAGATTTTAGGAAATAGTTTTCGTTATGGATTCTAGTCAAATCTTTTTTCTGATACTTCTTTTCTTAGCGTTTTATTTAATTCCTATAAGCAGATGCGTTACCAGTAGAACTGAATTTCTTGAATTCTGTCAATTTTGAAGGTTAGTGCGGGGCTTCTACTTCGGTACCTTAAAACTGCCCCCGCCCCCTTGTTCACACTATTCTTTTCTTTTAGAATGCTTCACTCTCCTCATAGAGTACCATTCTAGGCAAAGGACATGCTTTCTTCCCCCCCCCCCAACACACACATTAGTTTTTGTCCCTCTAAAATGCTATACCCTCGATGCATGGTCTAATTCTAAGTGATAAAAGAAATTTTTTTTGCTTTTAAAAATTTAACTGAAAAATTGTTCCTATCAACCATAGGAGATGCTAAAAAATTAAGGACTTTTAAAAACCTTGAACTAAAAATAAGTAGTTTTAAGGGCCGTTATTTTCCAAAATAAAAATTAAGCAGTTTTTAAGGACCGCGGAAACCTTGTTTAAATTAATAAGTAAATATAGTTATGATTAACAGTACGTAATTTAAGAGTATTTCGGAATACATTGTGTTACCTATATTGGTCACTGCACGGATAGTAACCAGTGATTACGGAGTTCATCGTAACATCCCTTTGGTCAAATGATCATCTTTCTACATCAAAGTTTTACACTTTTTTAAAAAACGTTTTGATTCGACTCATAAGACTTTTAGTCAATATTTTTTAGCAAACTAAACTTTAAAATTGGCTTAAAAATAATTATGATAAATAGGTGCATTCATCAAATCAAAAATTTTGAGATCATTAAAAATTTTGAAGTAAAACAACTTGAATCTATCAAATAATACAACTGTGAAAATATAAAAAGCATGGTTTTATAAAAGTATTTCTCTATATAGTGAATAAGCATATTTAACAATAATAAACCTAAACATACCAGTTTGTTTCGCAATCGTAAGACTAAGTCAACTATTTCCACTTCTTCCTTGTCTTTAATCCACTCCAGCATATCCTACAAAATATTTTTATTTTACTATTAATAAAAATTACTGTATTTTTGGATACATTTCCTCTTTGCAACATTTATGATTCACCAAGGCAAGAAAACTTCCAAAATAGAGTAAACCTCCCATTAAGAACCATTTATTCTCTTTCAAAACCGAGTCTATTTAGAGAGCAATAATTCCACCCTCTAACCTTCTTGTTTTATTACTCTTGTTTTTATTAGTATTTTGTTATTATTATTTACAGTCAGACCTCGATATAAAGTCACCCTAAGAGACATTGCAAAAGTTACCTTATAAGTGGGATGACCTTTTAACCGATTCATCAGCAGTTAGTAACTAAGCACGTAAATAGTACACATTATGATTTTTTTTAATGATAATACAAACGAAAACGATCGGCCATAAATTAAGTCACTGAATTTTAACAGAATTAGTAAAAAATTAAAGAAAGTTAAGATTTTTTTTAAAAATTTAAATTTAAAATAAAGCTGTTTACAAATTTCCTCAAAGTGTGCATACATACATTACATCATACCTTATTTAAAATAATTATTTAAAATAATCATTATGTCTCGTTTTTTATTTCATTTTTCGAACTATGTTTTCTAGATTTTGTAACTTCTCAAAATGCTCCTCAGCTCCCTCATGGTCTGTAAAAAAAATTTGTATGACATTTATTGCATTGAAGGCTTGCGCTTGGGTTACAGTCTCAGGATCACTGTCATTGTCCTCACTGTCCACTTTATGTGAAACAATTTCAGAAATTGTAGTTTCAGAAGTGATGGCAATTTCCCCATCAATCAAACCATATTCAGCCTCCCCTTCAATGGCATGGCCACGATTTTTCAGATCTTCCATCAGAACAGATAGAGGAATATCGTCATCTTCGGTTTTGTCATCCACAATATTCAGAGAACTCACAAAACCAGCATGACGAAAACAATTTGCTATGCATGTGGTCATTTTCCAACTTTTGCACACATAGAAAATGGCATCCAAGACAGTAATGTTAAACTCCTTTTTTTGGTCGATGGCAGTGATAAAATCCTTCAGGAGGAGCTTATGATAGTTCACTTTTAGGTTTTGAATAACTCTTTGATCCAATGGTTGGAGAATGCTGGTCACATTGGGAGGCAAGAAAACAAGCTCAATTGAGGCTAACTGTGGGATGTTGGTATGAGCTGTGCAATTGTCTGCTATGAAAACAACTTTTCGCTTCACAAACTGCCTGACTAAATGCCGTATTGTTTTCTCCCAAATGGTGACAGTCATCCACGCTTTTTTGTTAGCATCATAAAGATTTCAGGTTTTTAAAGCAACGTGGCTTTTGTAATGTACCAATAACAAGAGCCATCCATATTGGTCCCTGTAAATCTTTCTTTAATTTTTTTGCAACCTACACATTTTGTAACGCTAGAGTTTTTTCAGGTAAGACTCAGAAAAAAAGGCCACATTCGTCGACGTTGAATACATCGCATGGCTTTTACCGTTTCAAAATGTCATCTTCTAACACAGATTTCATCAAGTCATTCAAAACAGTTTTTCCAACACCTCCAGCTTCACTACATACTGTCTTGAAAGTTAAATCAAGTCTTACTTTAAATCTCTGAATCCATCTATTGCTCGTCATACAATTAGGTTCTCCTATTTGCAGAGCTTTTTCTCTCAGTACTCAACACGATATCGGCACATTTTATCTCCAACCATTTTTATCCATTGGAGAATGGCTTCTTCAATTTTCTCATAAGGGGAAAAACGCATCCTTTTTCTTTTCCCATTTCAACTGCGATGAGATGGCAGAATATTGTTTAAGGTGGTGCAAGGTATACCACCTTCTTCGGCAAAACATGCTTTCGATAAATTTGAACTTTCATAATCTTCAGATATTTTTTTCTTTCTCTGATAGAGTCAACGTCTTTCTCTTTGCCAACATGATGACACAATGAGAGAGGTTCGAATGAAATTCTTTCCTCTGGTCTGGTCAGCAAATGGTCACATAACACGATGGGAAAACTTGTCCTTTGTTCTCGTCCGAAAGGCGAAAGCTCCCCCCCCCCTGGAAGTGTGGACAGGGATGAGCAATTACTGGTCGTGAAGGCGGGGGGGGGGATTCTCTCCAGGTCCGGGTGTGTTCGCTGGCTGCAACATTTCTCTAGAACTCGAGAGGGGCAATTGCCTTGTAAGGAAGTTAAATAGGCTTTTGTTAGAAAAGAGCTCCCCTCGCCTCAGATAAAAAATTACCTTATAAGAGATAACGATTTTTAAAACTTGACAATATATTTAATAATCTGTAACAAATAATTCCTGTTCAGTGAGCCGGGACTTAGGAAAAGTGACCTTATATGCGGATGACCTTATATCCAGGTCTGACTGTATTATTTTGTTATTATACCTGCTATCATGTTCCGGCTACACCACGATAGACTGACAAAACTCTTGACACATACTTCTGAACTAAAGGAGAATTGTCTTACAATATTTGAGTGGTGACATGATTTATAAAACAGCCTGATATTATTATATGCATGAATAGATTGAATCCGATGATCGAATGAGTGATGACAATACAATAAAAAAGATATTGCCTTTTAGACCCACTGGAACAAGAAAGCGGGGAAGGACATTGTTGAGAAGGCTGATTCGGTGAAGTCTTGCAATTAATGAAAAGAATTGGAGAACAAAGATAAAACGGAAGTCATTATGGAGAAATCTTCAGAGGAAGGGCTGCTATCTGGCCAACTATGATGATAATGATCATTTTCCAGCAATTATTAACTCTTCACAAAAAAATACAGCTGCCGGTTAGTAATTGGGCTGAAGAAATAACCAGAAGGACAAGTGCTGAATCTGTCAATAGACAAAAGAAATAAAAGTGAAATGACCTGAGCCAGGACTCTACTAGTGGGTTCTGAATGAAAGAACGGCACACAACTTCAACCATAAGGACGAGAGAATTCGCCTTCTAACCAGGTGATCCGGATTTGAATCCCAGCAACGGCCGGTCGATACGAATTCTGCACCCGGCTCGCACCGACGACAGTGCCGGCATAAAATATTCTCAGTGGTAGATAGATCATAGGTTAGAGTCCCCTTGCCGTAAGGCTAACTGTAGGAGGTTATCGTAGTCACCATGTTACGCAAATGCGGGTGAGTTCCATCAAAAAGTCCTCCACGAAGGCAAAATCCCCCCCCCCCATACTTGATTCAGGAGTTCCCTTGTCTTCTGTTCAAACTGACAAGGCTATGGAGTCAAACATTAATAGTCGCCAACCCAAAAAATTGGGTCAGCTGTTCTATGACGGTTATAAAATAAAAACCATAAGGATGAAGTAAAAATAAGATGGTGCTTTCTATAGAGTTCATCATGGAACACAATTCTATAAGCGATGACTTTTTTTAAATCACTTTTTCATCAATTGTAATGATTTTTAAAAACTTCTTTTTTAATTTCCTATTTTCTCATTTAACAGACTTATATGTTCATCGGTTAAATAAATACCTAATCTATTTTTCATGTAGGAAGATTATTGATTTTTCTAAAATTTCTCTCTCAATCCCCATCTCAACATATTTTTGTTACAATTATAAATATTATTCTAAAATAAAGCATGGCAACTTTGTTTTGCTTCGTTTTTTAGCAAGAAAAAAAATTAATCTTGTAATGCGTATACCCTTTGCTAACTCATTTTTAATTGCTTTTTTTGTTTTCAAATCATTCAGAAATGGTGGCAATGTTTAAAAAAATATTTCGTTGCATGAAATATATCCTTGATTTTTTTCCTTTCTTTTTTTAAATTATTTAGAAATTAAAAGTTTTGTTTAATAAAATTCATTTATTTTTTTTATCATACAGATGCATATATGGGTCATTCTCACGAAAACTGTCATTTTTCAGTTCATAAAATCCCAAAAAAGTAAAGTGAATAAAAAGCTCTGAATCTTTCTATATTAATAGAAATATGTAATGGCATTGTAAAGAAAGTATATATCCTATAAATTATACTTAATATTTAAATTAATTAATTTTTTAAATAATTAATTTATAATTATTAATTTATAATAATTAATAATTAATTAATTTAATAAATAAATTAATTAGTTTAATAAATCAATTTATTAATTTATTTTTCAAAGTAATTAATAAGTAAATTAATTATTTTCGCTATTTAAAAAGTGAGGGACTGACACTAATAGTGAGGGAATGATATTTTATTTTAATACATGTTTTTATCTAAGTTACATCTACCTAAAGTTTGAAAATGATAACATACTAAGTATATCTAATATTTATTATAATTTAGTCTTATATATTTAATAGTTTTTACAGGTTTGGGAAATAAAATTGGCTGGCACGATTGAACAAAAAAAAATTTAATAATATACTCATCTTGAATCATTCCCTCACTTCAGCGTCATTCCCTCACTTTATACACTAGTGAGGGAATGACGAATTCAATAAAATTTAAAAATAACAGTTAGGCTTTATTAATTTCTGAAGTCAATCACATACAATTATATTCATACAAGAAAGCAACATATAATTATCCACTTTCTCGATGAAGTTGTATTTTATTTTACTCTAAAAAATGACATGAGGGAATGACAAATGTAAAAAATTTTACCTGGTTTGATTCATTCAAATTTATTCCACAGCAAAGCTTCTTTAAGTTGAAGATGGAAACATACTGCAATTTTGTTCTATGATGCCAGTTGTTAACTTCTGAAGTTTTTATTAAAATATTTTTATTCTAAGAAGATTGCAGGTGATAAGAACATTGTTGTGAGGGAATGACGCGAAACACTGGGGACAAAGTTTAAAATAGTGCTGTGTTAATATTTTTATCAGAAATTAAATTTAAAATTTATTTTCTGAATTCTATATTTCAATATTCTCAAATAAAAAACACAAATTTGTAAAAAAAAATTTTTATTTCAGAAACAATTTTTTTTCTTTTTTTAAATCAGCAGTGGGGACAAGTGAGGGAATGACATATTGGTATATTTTTATTACCTAAAATTAATAAAAAATAAAAATTGATAATTTTATTTTTATTCTTTTGTTAGCTTGCATTCTGAAGGACACTTTCCCTGAAAAATTTTTTTTCGTAAGTTGTAAAACAAACATAAAATATACTGGGGACATGAAAATGACTGTTTTTGTGAGAATGACCCATATATATATTATCCCTGTTGCAGAATTGCGACAGAAAAATGTTTCATTTGGGAAGGGGAAAATTTTCCTCTCTGCAGAAATTTTTTTTTCTTCAAAGATGTCTTACTTGCACATCAGAGAGGAAAGAAATAATTGTGACTTTTCTATTCCCATTTGCGATATTAAAAAAAACACAGTTATGACTGCCTTCAGCTAGAATTACAAATTAATATAAAATAAAAAATTCAGACATCACGAAAGTTTGAATGATAGGTCGTTCTAGAAATGCTCTTTCTTTTATTTTTTTCTCTTCTTTAAAGAACACCGTGTTTTAAATACATTTATTCAAGTATTATTCTTTTTAAAAAGTCCTATTCGCCTGTTTTCATCGTCTATCTTTATTTTGTAAGTTGCTGCACGGATCTTACGATTTTCCAATTTATTATAGTTTAATTTATTTACGCATTTGAATTTTTGTAATGATTTACAAAATTTGAAAGAGGAAATAACTATTGCATTTTTCTGCCTACAAAATTCTAGAATATTGCCTATAATAATCGCCTAAAAATATTACCAACAAAATTAAAAAATTTTATTCTTTCTTCTGTTAACACAATGTTTCTGTCAAATTAGTAATTGTTATAATCAAAAGTATCTTAAAGCTACATATTAGTGCTAATTCTGCCATAGGGTATTTTAAAGTCATTGCCTTACAATAGTGAGGAGGCATTATAAAATATGCTAATGATTACAAAATAAGAATTACAATTATTTCTTTTTTCTTGTAAGACTTCAGAGACAACTTGAGACAAAAAAAAATAATAATTGGCTCTTAGGAACATATTTAGTTGTAAAACAATCATTAATATCTAAATTCTTTTAGTGATAACATAATAAAAAATTCCATGAACTACATTCGTTTTGTATACGTTTTAAAGAAAATTATCCTTAAAAAAATTTAAATGGCAAAAGAATTTATTTTTATATACTTTGAACTAGGACTGGGCTATAAATCGATGTATCGCGACATATCGATTTAACACATATACCAGCAAGGCGATACACAACTTTAGTTACAGGCGATGCATCAGAAATCTGATTTAAGCCGTAGACTAAAGCAGACGAGCGCAAAACGATGTATCAATATAAGACGTGCAAGGATCTTCTTGCAACTGATACCGACTCGCGCCATGGAAGACGATGTTCGTTGCGTTATGTTGAAATAGCCTTGATTGATGAGTGGTAGAATCAGAATCATAGTTTTCAGAATATATATCGTGATCTCGCATGTTTGTTTTTGCGCCTCACAGTTTTTTCGTTGTCGCGACTTGATATCGTTTCTTGTAGATTATTTTCAGTGGGACTGACTTTGTGATTGCCATCGTTACCTTGTTCTGAACGTAATCTATTATTGAAAAGAATAAATAAAGAAGTGTTTCTTAATTAATTAGGTAAATGTTTTTTTTTAAAACAAAACTTTTTTTTTATTTTTAAATGTGAAAATTAATTTTGATATTATATGTTTAAGTAATTTTTTACATTATTGAAATTATTACAATAAAAAATCTAATTTAAGGTGTCCATAAAGAATTAAATTACAAAGTAATTAAATTTGTTAGGCTATTTTTTACTTTATTTTAATTTATTAAAAATTTTTGGATGAAACTTCTAATAATTTAATGGGTTTTCATTACTGATTTTAAATTTATAAATCTTTAGTTGTTTTTATTTTTATAAATAAAATCATGACAAAACTTATTTTTCCTCTTTTGGATTTGGATATAGGTTAATCAACTTTGTTTATTCAAAAAAATTAGTAAAGTTTGCAACTTCTTTTTTTAAAATCATTTAGCACTTCGTTTTATTAAAGAGTATAATCGTGTTTTTTAATTTTCTTTCAATATTGTCAATTAAATATATTATCGAATATCATAATTCTTTGGTTTTTATTTTTAAGAAATTAATCCTTACTTTGTTTTTTCGTTCAGAATTCGGTAATTATTCAATTTTAATTTACTACTTTATGTGAAAAAATAATGATAAAAAATAGTGTTGTTTTAAAAGTGTTTTTTTTTTTCAAATTATTTAGCACTTTGTTTCAAGCATACAAATAATTTTTAACGAACTTATTTTTTAAATTTTCTTTCTATATTGTTAGGTAAATATATTGATAAATTTCAATTTTATTTATTTTTTTATTATTTATTTTTAAACTAAGAAATCTTTCGTTATTTGTGCGATCATTTTTAGAAAATATAACATTAATATCTTTCTTAAGCAAAACACATATCTTCAAATTCATAAATTGATTTAAATCAATCTGAGTATGAAGTTTTGATAGAAATCTGACTTTCTGTGCCTTACAAGTAAATGAATTTCGAAAATACTATATCGCGATACATCGGTATATCGCGATGCAAAACTGGTGATGCATCACGATATAAAATTTCTTATATCGCCCAGTCCTACTTTGAACACATATTATTTTAAGCATTATAATGTTAAGTTTTTGCAAGAAAAACTATTTTATTTGGTACAATATGCGTAAACAGTTTTTCTTTTTTTTTAAAAAATGAAGAAAAAAAACAGCCTTTCTGCGCATTCAAGTAATCAAGTTGTAGGCTGAACAAAGATCGGGGTAAAAAAATTAACTGCTACAAACAGCATATACCCTCTTGGTAAAACAGTATAGATTATAGACATAGATTTATTATAGATTTATACTGAAGAATTTAGTTGAGAAAGATTAAAATAATTTAAATACAATATGAATAAATATACTCACAGCCTCTGAAATTGCTTGAATATGTAAACCCTGGAGCTTATAAGTTACTTCTTTATACCTACTATTATACCATCCAGCAAAGTTGGCACTTCTGAAAAATCTTCTGCAAAAATCGTTAAAAAACAATCATTGCTCTCTCTTGATATTAACTTCTTTTTAGGTTTACTATGCTTTTTCTGACCCATTTTAGCAGAGAATGTGGTATTATTTTAATTGAAATATGACACAAAAGAATTTCATACATGAAAAGAAATATTTTATTGAGAAACAAAACGGTGCTCGTATGCACCAAATCAAATAAGATCAGGCAAATCAAATAAGGCAAGAAAATAAAATTCATGAAAAATATACATCGCAGTGTAAATGAAAATACATTTATTGAAATGGTGCACTTACGCACTTTTGGCTGAAAATGGGTTAAACAGGTGACATTCTATGCAGGCATGATTCTTTTTCTCCAATACATTTGGAGGTTTCACCCCATGTGGTGGCCAAATAATAACTATTAATAGTTGTAAAAAAGATTTTGCAAATGGAATGTTTTTTTAAAAGTAAGTTTATAACAATGTTATCTTCATAATGCAGAATCAAAAGAGTGACCAATTAGAGACTCATCACTTGTTCGTAAAAAGATTTACCACCCTATGGCAGAATCATTACGACACAATGACGCAGACGGAGTTCTGGCAGAAAGATTTTTCTTTCGGAAAATAACGAATTTTGGTTATTTTTCTGCAGAAATTTTCGAAACTTTTATCTTTTCATCATTTTCTTTTTCCATTCTCATTTGATAATAATAAAACTAAAGAATAATATAGTAAAAATTTGGTTTTCTTTTCTACAGAAATTTTCGTTCTAATATTTTTTTACGCTATTGATTTCCACATAATTTTTAAAATCCGATATTTCATATACGATACTATTTATTACAATAACCGAATCTCGAAAACACGTATTTAGTAAAAGTTTAGTCATCCGATTCGCGTGACTTCGTTGTCAATCTTTTTTTTTCGGTAGTAACTGCTACAGATTACACGATTTCTTAATGTGATGATGCTTCACAAAATACGAAAAAGAAAATAATCAGGGTGTTTCCCCCAACAAAATGCTACAATATTACCCATAATATTAGAATAAAAAAATATTACAAATTTTTAAAAAAAATTATTTTATTTGAACCAAAAAGTTATTATTTTTCTTTTAAAGTTGACACTTCTGTTACTATGAATTAGTAAAATGTATATTTGAAGCAATAAGAAAAAAATGGAAATAAAAATATGGCCACCGAAGCTGATTGGGGAATATTAGTTTATTATTTCTTTCAAGAGGGCGAAATTAAAGTCTTGACTGAGCAGTCAAGCATTATATTAATCTGTTACGCAATCTATACTTTCCCTATCCTTTTTTTTTCTTCTACTGCACAAAATTTAAAAGAGGGCGTTTTCATTTAAAATGTTTCTTTTACATTGAGATAGTTTTATGAAATTGCTGTTTGACCAGTTTACTGTGAGTTTTGTATTGTATTCTTAAGATTTTGTTTGATACTTTTCCTCTGATTTGATTTTATGTATTTCTTATATTTTTCCTGGACTTTTACAAAACCTTCGGGGTACTGAGGGAGCAAATTTTGACAATTGTCTGGCTCTCACAATAGAAAAGGTTTTGTTTTATGGCTTCCGGAGCTGGTACCCCCTGAAGACGTCGGCTTCGGTGACCATATTTTTATTTCCAATTTTTCCTTATTGCTTCAATTATTCTTTCTTTTGAAAATAACTGCTGCTTTGCGCATTTCTTTCAAAGAAGTTGTGTTATTATTGAATTAAATATTTTGTATTCTTTTACTAAAATGTATATTTGTTATTTTTAAAAGTATCTTGAAAAAAGATATTAGCATTAGAAAGGTCAAAAGAATTCTGCCACAGGGGTCTACGTAAAAGGTTCATTTAAAAATCACTAAGCCTAAATGGTTTAATCAAAAGAGAACAGAATTTACCTGTAGAGAGCACTCCAATTGCCCTTGATTCCACTCGTTAACTGTGGGCCAGATTGCTCAATTGATTTCAAAAAGTCATCAGGATTAAAAGGTCGAGGCATAGGTGTGTCCTAAACATTATTAATTCAACTCATTTCAATTTATTCACTTACAGGGTGCATAGCAACAACAAAAAAAAGAGCCTTTTAAGTACTTCTTAAGCACTCAAAAAGCATTATATACACTAACAAAATGCAAAATAATTTTCCAAGACTTTAAATCATTATCATAAAATAACTAGTTTCTGACAAAGAACTTCTTTTCTTGATTATATTAGACACCATGAAAAATTAAAAGATTCTTCGATTTCAGAAGGTGGGAAATGAAGCCTGAAATTGAAAATATCTTTTGAAATGCAGCAGATTTGCACACGGGAGTACCAGAATTCCACCAAACACAGCTCAGTAGACGCAGATGTGCAAGTATTTCATCAAACATGCAAAGTGATTGCATACACTACAGTATGCCAAAATAGATTGTGGAAACGTTGAACAGAATAATGCTTTTGCATAATTTGTGGCAAAAATCGACATGGTAAAGAAAAAAAATCTCATTTTCAAAGAGGGAATATTAAGCACTTTTCAAAAACCTCCAATGAAAAAAGCACTTTTTAAAATGCTACGCACCATGTGCTAGGACTGGGAATCTATCTGGCACAACTTGGTGGCTTCCCTTTTTTCTTTTTTTTAAAAAATTGTTTTGATTTTAGGTTTCAGTTCAATAAAAGATTTCAGCAATATTATTTGACTTTTTGGATATAAACAAACTTTTTTTATTAAGCTGAGTGTTGAAAATTACTGAAATGTGTATAGATAATTAAATGAGAATTGTGGCAAATTATTTAAAGTATTGATAAAATTTATACATGGTTTGTATACACTTAAGTTATACACTGGCGTTCAAAATTAGGAGCATATTTTGCTGAACTTTCTGGTTGAAAACTACTCCTTCGAAAGAAAGCGTGTCAAAGTAGAGGAATAAACTTTCTAGGTGCAAAATCTGGCCAAATCTTTTGAAGAAATGTTCTTTTAATTTCAAGCAATAAAAACCACCCATGTTTAGATAATGGAATTGTGGAAGGTCTGAATTTGTAGAGATGTCCAGCAATGTTTAGAGTCTGCCAAGAGGATTGAAATCCTTCTTAAATTAAATTTTCTTTTATTTCCTTAAAAATGTGAGTCTTTCAAAATTAAAAAAAAATGACATAAATTTATTGAAATGATGTCATAACGAAATGAAAGATCAACAAAATTTGTACTAAACAGCTTCCCTGATTATCCCGAGTTAACTCAGGTATGGATTGCAAATATCCCGAGTATCAAAATTTGACAATACGTTTTATCACGTTCTTATTCGGCCGGATCCGCTAATCTGCGCTGTGATTGGAAGTAATTTGTTTGTTGCTATTCGTGGGACGTGTCTCGTACAATTGTATATATGCGATGGTTGATAAATTCACATAGAAAAAAAAAAAAAGAGTGAAAAAATTTCTTATGCGAGTGAAAGTAATGCAGATGATTTTTTAGATGATGAACATATACAGAGGCTAATATTTGAAATTAATTATATTAATATTCGGGAAGTGATGGTAAATGAAATATTTTTTTACCAAAAAAAAATTTCAACTTGTGTTAGTTCCTTGTATTTATTAATGTTGATTTTGTTTTCAAAAAAATTGGTAAGGGAAGCAGTTTTGAAGTTAAATTACTATTTAAAAGAATTAGGAAAAATAGAGTGACTTTTAGGGTCAGTGATTTATACTGGGTGTGAAAAAGATAAACAAGGTTAGCTGCTATTTATTTTTGCTTGTTTTTTTTTTTTTTNTTTTTTTTTTTTTTTTTTTTTTTTTTTTTTTTTTTTTTTTTTTTTTTTTTTTTTTTTTTGCTGTAAAAATAAATTAATAAAATAGAGAAAAATACTTTTTAGAAAAAACAAATCATTGATTTCATATAGAAGTCATTATCATGGAAAGGTGCATTTTGCAGTTAGCTATAAATTCCTGAAGATTCCGGTAAACAATCGAACAAGTTAATTTATCAAAAAATAATTTCAGTCTTGAAATTTTTCAGAGTGATGAAGAGAGAAAGCCTGACCAAGGTCAGCGAAGAGAAACATTGACCAATGAAGATCGGTATTTGTCGAGTGGGTCACGACAGGAATGCTTCTCGACTCCCTCGTGATCTCGATGCAGCCACGTGAAGTCGGAATGCTTCACGAGAGAGGAGGGCTTGTTTGTAAGAAGACTTCCGCTAACATGTTTTGGATTGTGGAGAACAAACTTAAATAAAATGAAACACTTTCCACAAGCAATTATAATTACTTCTTAAATATTGCACTATTAATTACCTCCTAAAACTATTTTCGAACCAATGTTTTAGCAAAATTTGTCTGAAAAATACTGATCTTTCTTTCGTTTTTTTTCTTAAATGCTGCCTAAAATTCAAATACCATGCATGACGTAATCACAGAAAAAAGGCAGTTGCACGAAGAAAAGAAAAAAAGAAATTCTCATAGCAAATCTCAGCAAGAATTTTGAGGTTTACTTCTTTTTTTTTTAAATGAGTAAAAATAAAAAAATGTTTTTAACAATATTGATTGCAGGGTAAAATAAGACAAATTTTGACCATTTTTTGTCTACAATGAGAGATACCAAAACATTTTCCACAAAGGTGAAAAAAATTTCTGTGAATGAGACGTTGATGTATATTACACATATCTGGTGCAGAGATTATTATGGAATGCGATTATCTAAAGATTTAATCAAATGAGCATTTAAAAAGAAAGTTGGTTGAAAACAAAACTTTTCCTTATATGCACACTGCAAAAAACATTCAGCTGTTCTAATCTAGGGTTGCATTATTTTTTGTGTCGGCTTGGCAATTATTTTATTAGCCACAAGATCATAGAGACACTCTTACAACATTTATGAATCACTAATATACCTCCAGTATGCATGTCTACACGAGGGAAATCTTTTTTTAAAATTCAATTCTGTAAATACAGTAGAGCGCTGATTATCCCAACTATGCCCGAATTCTCTCTCTCTTTTTTTTTTTAAAGTTTAGTTTACTTTTCAACTTATTAACTTTAAGAATAAATAACATCCACTACATCTGAAGACCATACTTAATTTACAACTTTTTTCAGCAGTTTTCTTATAGTAGCCATACATACATGTATACAGTTAAACTTACATACTCCTATAGCCCTCTTCAACTGAAAATTATCATCAAAGAATGCGAGCTTCATTTTGACAATCTACAATGGTTGGAATGCGAAAGGTGTTTACGAGTGAGGAAGTTCTACAATTGGGGGATGGGTAGTTATCACCTATGGTTAATGATTAGTGATTACAGTGCTTGGAATCTTAAGTCTTGGAAAAATATTCTTAACAGAAAAACAAACGAAACTGAAGTTTCTGAACCAGTAGATCTTTCATGTTAAAAGACGACAGGTTACACAGCAGAAGAAATAGAAGACTGGTGTCGAGACACTGAAAACAACTCAGGATTTCAAATTTTAAATGATGATGAAATTGTTGCTGAAATTTTGAATCAAAATCAGAACTCCACAGGGAAAGAAGTAAGTGATCAAGTTCAAGATAGTGGACCTTCTCATACAGAAGCATGCAATTCATTAGATATTGCAATGAATTGGCTAGAACGTCAAAATGATGTTGATCCAGTTGAGTTGATTTACATAAAAAGAATAAGGGATATGGCTGCACAAAAAAGAGCATCTTCTTTGAAACAGATGTCTTTGCTGGATATCTTTTGCAATGGAAAATAAAAGAAAAATGTGGTAAAATCAGTAATTGACAAAAAAATTATAAAAAAGCTGAAATATGATAAAAATAATTCAAATTGAAAAAAAAATGTCAAATTGAAAGTATTTTTTTCAAATTGAAAAAAATATTTAAAAATTGAAAAAAAATTTTTAAACACGCCAGAGCTATTTTAGATAGTACTGCTAGTCCTAAGTCTAGAAAAAGTGTGAAGGAAAGCTAGTGCATAAATAATAATCATTTAAACTAGATTTTAAACAAATTTCCAATTATCTGAACCACATTCGGTCCCGAGCAGTTCGGATAATCGGCGCTCTACTGTACTTTGATAATGACTGTTGCACATGATGATGTGTCGCACAGTTATAATGCACATAGAGAGCTTGCATTATAATGTATATATATATATATTACAGACTTTATATAAATATATATATACAGTACAGAATCCGTTATCCAGAAAACCGGAAAACCAAAAAACCGGAACGAGATTCGCTAAATTTTCCCGCCATTTTTAAAAAAAAAAATTTTTTTTTCCTCATAACATTTTAGGATTTTTCTTTCTCTTTTGAAAGATTACCTTACCATCATTTTGGAAATAATCATTAGCGTATTACTTCATCGTTTTTTCCTCTTTTTAAGATTATTTCCAAACATATATTTTTTTTTTAGTTGAGTTTAACAATAAAAAAAACGGCTTTTTGTAGCGATTCAGACAAACCGGAAAAATCAGTTAAGGTACAGTAGGGAACCTATTAGCCTGAACAATTGTCCCGATCGTTCCGGATAATCGGTTCCCGACTGTATTAATATATATACAGGGTGGCCACTCAGTTTCAGGTTTCAAATTTCCCTAATTTTTCCAGGTTTTCCTGGTAAAAGTCGTAAAACTTCCAGGACAGTCCTTTTTCTTTTCTCATTAAGTGTAAGATGAAAACAAGAAAAGTGTCAATATTATAAAGTATTTTTTTTTTAATATTATTTTTTTAACAAATCATCCTGAATCATCCTTTTTTTAACAAATCATCCTAAATTTATTTTAACAATTTGCAAGATTTTGTTTTTTATTTTTTGATGTTTTGATATAGCATTAATTGCTTATTCCAAAAATGTACCTGCAAAATGGCAAATACAGAATGTAAAAAAAAACTTGGATATGTTTTCATTAAGCAAAAGAAAACTGTTACAAGTGATCAATAAATTTATATCTTTAAAGTGGCTCCCAAAGGTATAGAAATATGCTTGTATTGAAATAATTAAAAGTATTATTTCAGAATGAGTATTTAATAATCTATTCTTTGCAAAACTTCATACAATATTTTAAAAGCAAAAGTTTATTTTTAAAAAGCCAAAAAGTAACAAAAATTTTACCCTACAAAAGTCATCTCAAAAATTTTTCGGATTTCGGAATTAAAATTTTTGTCTATAGCTTTAATATTTTTATTTTATTATTTTTCATTTAATTTCTATTTATTTATTTGTAATTAAGTATCAAGCTTATGACAGCAAAATTAAAACTTAAATTTTACTTTCCAACACCATAATATTTTTTTTATCCTTTAAAAACGGCTCGTGGTGGTAATAAAACAATAGACAACATTTGAACATTTGAAAGTTAATTATTTGTCATCATAAGAGGTAAATCAGTTATGAATATTGCTAAATTAGTTTATTGTGTCTCATTCCACTGTAAATAAAATGCTAACAAGAAGGACTTCATATCAGAGATTAATATTATAAAATTTGTAGAAAAAATCATAAATTCACTTAATAATAAATCAAAAATATACTTTCTCTTAATAAGCACACCTTTTTTTCGATGGATTTTGCACCCGTGAACTGAAAAAATAGGGTCCAAATAGTTTAATCAAGAGAGTGGTTGATACTGTTAGTGTTTCTCTATATCTCAAGAATTTTATAAGCATATCAAAAAAAGATTTGCGTACAATTACAAAATTCATTTATCCAAAGATATTTTTGTTTATAGAAGTCTAAAATTTCTTTAATTTTAACTTTCCTTCATCAAAATGACATGGTTTCTGATATTTATGGTTAGTAGAAGTAATGCATTAAAACAATTTATTTCTTATGCCCACAATCATGTTTATGATCTCTACACCAGAGGGCAGTATCAGAAAATGAGTTTCAACTTCAAACTTTAAATATGTACAGATCTGATACGTTTCATGTAATCTTAGACTCTCTGTGATTACATGTGGTTTGAGTTAGGTGATAAAATATATATTTTTTTAATACTGGAGTCAGAACATGTACCAGATTTTAATTTTAGTACTAATAGATCTAAGAGCAATTCTGAAATAACTGGTTTTTATGAAAGGTCGGTTAGTGAATCCCAAAAATTAAAAATATTGTGCAAGATGGGATTTATGGATGGGATGGGGCAAGATGGTGCTTGGATTTAATCCCATCTTGCACATATATTGTGCAAGATGGGATTAAATCCAAGACTTGGAGTAGTGAAGATCTTGCTAATATACCCGATTGCCCAAGATGCGAGGCATTGTTCCGACTGGTTACGGGACATGGCTGAATATCTCCATACAATTGGTATTTTTGACTCACTATGCAATCTGGGAGAACCTCTGCGTCGATGCGAGGCTCTGACTCCGCCCAGCTAGAAAACACTTGAGGCTTGCTTGCTTGCTCATTGTTTTTATAAATGTAATTTGCCTTGCCATTGGAAATAAAAAATTAAAAAAACATATATTGTGCACAGTTTCGTATTATTTTCTTGAATAAGGCTTTTTTATGACATTTTCCTGACATACTTTCCTACAAATAGAACAAATGTTAGGTGTGTTGGATGGTTTCCCCCTCCCCCCTCCATGTCTTTGAATTGTTTAGAATTCTTTTAGGGGCGTTCATTTTAATGGATGAAGTTGACCCTTTTTTGGAAAATAGCCAGCCAGACCTCCAAACCTAAACCCTACGCTTCAAAGAGAGCAAATTGAACTGCTATTTTAAATCACAACCACGAGATTCAATTTGAGCATAAATGGATCTGACAGCAATTCTGAAGTAACTTATTTTCATGAAAGTTTGGTTAGTGATACCCTGAAAAATAAAAATGAATACATATATTGAATGTACACTTAGTTTTGTATAATTTTCTTTAGAAAAAATAGGCTTTTATGTGACGGTTTTCTTCAAAATTATGCAGCCATTAAAGGATTAAAAAAAATTTATTTTATAGGACAAAATACACAAGTTGAATAAAATCAGTCAAATAGTTCTTGACTATTTCTTTAAGTTTGATTACTCAGAAACTATCTGGCCGATTAAAAGTATATTGGCTTTAGTATTTCGATTTTAGATGAATTTCGCTCTGACTTAGTTAAAGCATTTTTTTCCCTTAGTTTTTCAATGAGAAGTTAATTATAAAAATTGAGAAGAAGAATGTGGAAATACTTACTTTATGAGGTGATATATTTTTTAAAAGAGGCATTAAACTTGCCATATACCTTTCCTAAAAGTAAAGAGAAGAAGCACCTTACAAATGATAATAGAGGGTGCAGCTAATGCAATGCTAATACAACACAAAATAAGCACTTTTTAAGCACTCCAAAAATATTTTTCAATCACTTTCCAAAATAAAAAATAATTAGGATATGTGCAGGAATAAAAATTATTTCCTTCTATTGTTTAAAGTTCTTAATATATAAACATACAATCAACAAAATACAAAAACATTTTCTAAGACTTTACATAATCTTGATAAAATAACCAGTCTCTGATAAATATTGGAGGGAAAATTTTGAAAATCATGCTTTTTTGGTAATTTATGATGACAATCGATGTGTCAAAGAAAAAAATCTCATTTTGAAAGATAGAAAGTTAAGCACATTTTACAAACCCTCGTTTAAAGGCTTTTAAAAAGCATAAATTAAAAATAAGAAACTTTAAGCACTTTTCAAAAACACTATGCAACCTGTATGTTTCTTAAAAATTAAACAAAATTCACGGATTTTTTTTTCCATATTTTTTTTAACTGTCTTCTTAACTTATTAAACATAAACTATTAAATGTCAGCTGAGAGACAAACTAGACTGAAGCATAATATCATTAAGAAGACTTAATATAATGAATGCTATAGATCCTTGCATGTTTATCTTATACTCGAGATCAATTTTTCACTATCGAAAATCATTTCATTCAAAGCCACTTGTTTCTAAAATTTGTTACCTTAAAGCCACCTATAGATCTCCACCATCTTTTAAGAACTTTAATCCCAAATTGTTAAGAATAAGTCTTTTTCCCAGTAAATCTTAAATTAATAACTTATCAAATTTCATGTGTTAGACAAACTAAACTTCGACTTAAAGAATAAGAAACTTCCATACAATTTGTACTTTGTTCAAATTGATTTCTGCTTTCCATTGTTAAATATTTAACTTGATGAGTCTTTCAAGTCCCTCTTTAAAACCTCCTTATATAGACTTTTGAAATGATCTGTCGGCTTGAGCCTGTCTTAAAGATTTATTTTCAATGTGTATTATATTTTGGGCAAAAATCCCTATGAAATGAATGCAGTACTTGAGGAAAATGCTTTACAATTAAAAACTCCCCTTAATTAACTTGCCTCAAATATTAATTTTATCAACAAAATTACAAAAATCCTCATAGAATACAGATATCAAAATATTTTTTTCTTCATTTATCAAAATTAAATTAAATTATGTATTTGAAAATTAAATTATGTATTTGAAAATTAAAAGTTTTTTTCATAAAACATTTTCTTTTGCAATTTTTAACCTGCATCATTTTCTTGAAAGATGTAAACATTTACAACATCACTAAAAAAACAATTTCTCTGAAGAGAAATGAGCCTGTTAAAAAATCTGGTTTTAAATGCTGATGTTCCTAAGAGCTGATTAAAACTACTCAATATTTTGGGATAATATAGAATGTTTTAAATATATATATANATATATATATATATACAAGAAATAAAGAATTTATAGGTAGTGCAATGAGAAGTAAGCAATTTTAAAAAAGAAAAGTTTGTAAGAAATAAACAAAAAAGGAGGAATATAAGAAACTTACCAAAGGAATGATAAAGCTCTGGGTTAATTCTAAAAGGTAATGCCTCAAAATAGTATTCTGTACTTCTACAGGCCGCTCAGATTGAATGCCCTACAATAAAAACAATATATAAAAATCATTAAGTCCCTTTATACTGTGCTCTTCAACATACATAGTGAGAGGTGAAGAAATCAATATTCCCAGTTTATAAGGATTCCTTCTGATAAAGCACTTAGTGTGATCAGGGTGCATAGCCATAAGCACCTTTTAAGTACTGCACTACATGAACAAAATAATTTTCATAATCATGATAAATTGAAAATTTAGTTTCTGACAAAGAACTCTTTTTGTGTTTATATAAGCCATTACAAAATGATCCAGAGGTTTTTTTTTTCGGTTCAATATCAGAGGGTGTAAAGTAAAGTCTGAAATTGAGAATATCTTGCAATATACAGTGAGTTACACACAAGACAGTAATAATCTCACCGAACCTAGCTCAGTAGACGCACATGCGGACTCGCAAGTATTTCATCAAACATGTCAAATGATTGTCGCTTTCTTATGCTACGTATCGACGATACACCAAAATAGATTGTGGTTGAATGAATTTTGAAAACGTTGAATAGAACGATATGAAAAGCACACTTTTGCATAACACGTGGCGAAAACTGACATGGTAAAGAAGAAAAAAAATTTTCGAAAAGAGAAAATGAAGCCCTTACCCAGTGAAAATTGCATCTTTTAAAAAACGAAAGTCGAAAATAAGCACTTTTTAACCATGTACTAGAATAAATAAAGAGTCAACAAATGGCTGCTAATCCTACAATCTCAATTGATTGAATAATCTCTTTTTTATTGATTTGGTAGGTAAAAAGGTAAAAAGACCATCCAATAAAAAGAGTAAAAAATTTTAATTTAGAACTACAATCAAGACATTTCTTAATACTTATATTCCAACTACAAGTTAAATTTCAAGTAAAGTACTCTGTACGGCTCAATTTTTATACTTTCCGGCCCTGAGGCGATTTAGTATTTTCTTTATCTACATATGTTCACATCTTTAAAATGATACAAGAATTTTAATAGCTTTTCAAAAAATATATAATACGGCGCCTGCTATTTCAGCATGTAGGGTGTGCAAGTGAAAATATTCATGCAATATTTTTATTTTTAGAATAATATAATTTGTAAACATTTTGTCTCGTAAAATGTTATAGAAATTTTGTAATAAAACAGTAAAAAATAAAAGCCCAGATTTATGGAATACTCCGAATCACTATTTTCATAATCAATAATGATTAAAAAATTTCAAAAAATAAACATCAAATCATGTTTTTTTAACCTACAGGAGAAAATAGCGGGATCACAATTGAAACAAGGGGAAAAATTCTTTGTCCATGATTTTCACATGACCCGTAGTCGGGGACGAAACCAATATCCCGCTCAAATTACGAGAGCCGTACGAGGAGAGTTAAGTTACAAAAATCAACATATTTAAGAATTGCTCAAATTTATTCTTATTATAAAAACAGTTTTATTTTTTAATTCCAACTATTTATTTTCCTTGAAATTTAAAATTAACATCAATTTTGTTTCATTATGATTGTAATTTTAATGATATTCTTTTGTAGTATGATAATGTTTTTAAAATACAGTATATCCCTTTTAAATGCAAAATAAATATCTAAAGTCAAATACTAAAAAATTAAGAAGAATAAAAATCTAGTAAGTCATTAGGATTTGTTTTAATTTATATTTCTGACAAGATCAATTATTATTAATTAAGTTCTTATCTATGCTCAATTTCTTGTTAATCTATAAAAAAATTATAATGCTATAAAGAAGCAATTGATCTTATATTTCAAAGAAATCAACGCAAATATGGTTCTTAAGGAAAGTCAGCAACTACAAATACGTTTTTTCCACTATCGATGCGCTCACCAACCCCAGTACGTGTTTTTCTATCATTGTTGGGTTTTTTTCGACTAAAAAAGATAATTTTGCATAGAAAATACTCATTACATTTTCAGAGTAGCTACTTTTGATCTGATTATTTATTTTGCATTTAAAAGACATGTCTTTTGGGCTTACAAAAGAGTTTTTTTCTAAAAAGGTAATTTATGGGTTACCCAAAGGAAAAATGTGTATTTAGTGTACTTTATATATTTTACTTATTCACATCATAACATACTTAATTAATTAACATCAGTTAATAAAAGTACATACATTGTTTTGATTATAAAAGACTGTCTAGTATTATTGTTCCCTGCAATGACTTCTCCTTAAGTTTCTTATAGAAAAGCCCTTTAGGATGCTTTAACAAAGATAGTTTTAAATTAATTTCAGATTATAAAAATTTTTGTAAAGAATTACAAACCTTCAAAATATGTTTCAAAACATCCTTATCTTTGCTCAGAAATGGTTTATACTGTGTATACAGACCTTAAAGAAATAAGATGACATTTTATGACAGCAGATAAAAAGTAAAAAAATTTCAATTAACTTATTGTCTAGCAATAAAAATCTAAAAACTAAAAAGAAATTCAAATAAGTTATTAGTTGGTTATTAAATATGATCATAAATTTGTAACAGTAATTATTATGGTTTGAATACTTTCATTTTAGTTTCCTAGACAAAGAAAATACAATTGCAATAACTAATTTTTATTATTAATTGATAAAAGTTATGCTTTTAATCTTTTAATAACACAGTGAACAATAAAGTACGATTAAATGATACAAAAACAAAATATCAATACTATTAGAGGTAATAATCTTTAATAAATAAAATATATCAGTGATTCTCAATCTTTTGTCGTGGCACACTTTTAACGATTTCGATACCAAGAATAAAAAAGTTGTTTATTTACAATATATATTACACTGTGTAAATTAGTTTGTGACAATAATTTCAGCTTTTTCTAATTGTGCAGTTTTTATTTCATCTTTTTCCCCTCGCATGGCTTTATAGTTCTTTTCTTTTGTTTATTATAAGTTTATGTTAAAATAAGTAGGAAATTTAATGACTATTAAAATTATTATTAATTAAAAAAAAGCAAGCTAACAAAAGGAAATAAAAGCTAACAATTATAATAAGCAATGCAATTAATAGTTATAAAAATAAATTAACAAAGGATAACTCACAAAAAAGAGCTAACAATTAATAATTAACAAGGAATCACACAAAAATAAAAATGAATGTAAAAAAAAACTAAAAATTAATAGCTGTAAATAACAAGCTAACAATTAATAAATAGCAACAAAAAAAACCAGTGAACTTGTAATCTCTGAGGATGATCTGAAGACGTGCCATCGATCTTCTGCAGAGAAGATTACTCCCCTGTTTCGCTAGCCTAACAACATGCGCTCAAAGTCGAGCCCTTTATTGTAGAACAGTTTAACGAGGACCCACTTACTGACAGTGACGCTTGTCTCTACGATCAGTCATCTGTGGGACTATGAGTTAGTAATATAAAGCAATAAAGAGTTTTACCTGGTTTAGAATCCAAAACTTTGATGTTGCCTCCTCTTTTAATTTTATGTTTATTGGGCACACCTGGAAAGGTTCACTAAATAATTATCTAAATAAAATTGTGTTAGATCAACAACAGATTCAATTAAAATCATTTTGTTTGTCAAACTATAACTGTTGGAACCAGAAGCGCTCGAGCAGCATGTTATTCATATTTGAGAAACGCAATTATGTCTTGAGTGTCTGTGTTAATATGCATACGTTACATCCGAGTAAATATTTGTGAAAGCAACAATTCGTTTCATACATTAGCAAAATGTTTAATTACGTAACTATGGAATTGTTCACTGACTCCACACTAGTTTATCAATGATTTTTCATTTATCAAAAAAAGCTTTTTCCATTAACACCTATTATTATACGCAGTATTATTCACAAAAAAAATTCCTTTATAGTTTAAGGATCAACAGAGGATTTATAGGGTAAAAAAATTTGCTGAGGTCTCATCCAGTGATCATTCACAGAAATTTTATTCATGATTTAATATAGTCAGAGTAAATTTATTCTGAATGATCATTCACATGCAAATTTAGTCATCACTCATTATGCAAATTTTTGAATAATGATTGATGAATAAATTCATTAGTCATGACTAATTTTTTATCTTGAATAACGAGCAAAAAATGCAAGCATTTAGTTTGTATATATGTGTTAACATATTTTTTATGTATGTAGAATGAATGTATGCATATAAATATAATTTATTAATGTACGAGCAATGGATGTAAGTTTGTATGTATGTAAAGATATATATGCAGAGGTATATACGTATATGAAATATTTGTACGTATGCATAAAAGATATATGTATGAATATACAGATTTAAATACAATATTTGTATGTATGCACAAACATTATTTGTACATACATTATATGCACATAATTTTGTACATAATATACATGTAAACATGCATATTACTTTTTATTTACGCATGTTGAGACAATATATGTATGTACATATACATGTATTTATACACCCAAGTATATTCAAGTATGAATGTAGATAAATATGTGCATTGTACGCAAGAACTTTGTTTATACATACGATGTATGTACATATTTATGTATATAAAATGCATACATAGACATATACAGTGTATGCTCCTATGTATGCACATATCTATGTACATTGTCAAAATATGCATATGAAATGTACATATGCATGTACAAAAATGTACGTTCTAGCATTATATGTAGGTATATACAATGTATGCAAGTACATATCATATATAAATGCATGTATGTATAAGAAATTTCTGATGTATACATACATTATGCATATGTAAGTCAAACTCTTTAACCATAAAACTAAGAAAATATTTATTTTATCTTACTCCAGCGTAACATTATTGTTTTATAAGTTCTTATACTTATTAGTGCTATTGTATACAGATTTCGTGATTTTTTTCATTTTTTTCAAAAAATCAGATTTTTTTTATATTTAAATCGGATTTTTTTTTATTTAAATCAGATTTTTTTGATTTTTATTCAAACACATTGTAAGAACTTTAATTTATGATTAAAAATACTTTATAAATGTTTAATCAAAATTAAATTAATATTAAAACATTATAAGAATATTTTAGAAGCTCTAACTTACTAATATAATTTTTCAATACAATACATAGCTTTGAATGCATAGCAACCATTTTGAAACAAATGCATTAATTGAAATTTGAAGATTAGATGAAATAGAGAATTTAATGAAAGTGGTCTGTCTAGGTTTTTCTGAGAGGTATTTATTTTGTGAAAATTTAGACATAATTTGTGAAAATTAAAAGTAATATTAAAAAATCAACACAAAAATATGGATTTATTCATTTCTTACTAAACACAAAAATAAAATTTTTAAAAAAAAGTATTTTGAGAAACTATTGTTATTCCTTTGTTGATTTCCAAAGATGAATTTGTGAAGGTACCCTAAGCAGTAGCAAATATGGCTTGGACAGACTCTTTAACTATTAAATTAAAGTTTCAATTAGCAAACCATAATTTTAATTTAAAATTGTGTTGTTTTTTTCTCTTGATTTTTAATATGACAAAATAAATGTAACAGATTGTGTTTATAAATGTAGTCATTCATCAAAAAATAAATAAATATTTAATCTATATATTTTTATATTAAAATATTCATTTTTAATTCTATATCAAAATAGACAAGCTAAAAAAATTTTTTTTTAAAATCTATGCACTCATTGGAATTTTTTTTAGCAAAATTTCTTAATAGAAAATCTGATAATGTCAAAGATACTGTAAACATATTATGAGAAAAAAATACCAGTTACCAGTTAATAACTCTACTGCCTCAAATAGACTTTGAAAGGGAAGAATGACACTATATCAGGAAAAAATATCTGAATTCATTAGCCTTTTTTTTTTCTATTTTTGGCATATTAGGGTAATTTCTTTTTAATATAACCTCAAGCTTTAGAAATATACATCTTCCACCAATGAAATATAATGTAGATTTTAATTCCATGCTGTTTCAATCAAAAGGTAGAATTTTAATTAAGATTATTTGCATTTTTTTTTCGAAATGCATGTCTATTAATTACTTTCTACAGCTATGCAAGGCTATAATAAGACAGCATTAAATGTGTACTTTAATCTGTACTTTCAATTTCAAGAATCAAAAGATTTTTAAAAAAGTAATTTCAAATGTGTTGGAATTTAACACACACCAAGAAAGAAAGTAATTTCGTTAACTAAAATTAATTAATACAGCAATTTATTTACAATAAATTTTAAAACTAAGAAAAGAAAATAATAAAAGAATCAATAATTTAAAACACTGTTTTTTATCTTTTAAAATCAATATATATATTGCTTTTAAAACTGATATAAATCAGTTGATTTAAATCAATGATTTTTTTTAAAAAATCATTTGATTTAAATCAAGCTGATTTAAATCAACGAAGCCTGATTGTATATATTGCTGTAAAAGTGTATTTTCTGGTGAAAGCGGCATATCGTTGCAAGTGTCGTACATTGATAAAAATGAAAAAATTTTACCATAAGCGCCACGCATGTCAGCATCCTTATAGAAGAGACCTTTAAATTATCATTTAGAATATCTGCATAGTAAAAAATTTTTTTATACATTTCATAAAGTAAACTTTTAATTTCTAAATAATAAAAAAAAATCTGTTAACAGATCCGATCGCTTACGGCCGCAGATTGCTTAGGCAAGGCTAAACTAGATCATCCTTGATATAGGCTAATGTGGAATAAGCGTGCATTATAAATGATCTCTTTAAATGGTCTGAAAATAATATTAAGTACAACAAAATATTTTTAAATACACCAAATAACGTAATTTCTAAATTATTTTTGGGGGGGGGGATAGCCTAAAATGCGTTAACAAAGAGTTCACACGACAAAAAAAAAATTTCATCTAAAAAAAAGTAATAAAACGATATAAAATAAAGTTCAGAACAGCAATTAATTAACAGCAAAAAAATATTTATACCCTCAGACGCGCCGATAAAAACCTTGCATTCGGAGGGTGGGAGTTTGAGAGAATTCTTCTATTATAAAAAAATAATTCAACCATATTTAGCGGAACAATTAATGCTGCGACTGATTACAGAAATCTGTAAAACAATATAATAAGAAAAATAAAATAAAAAAATTTTAAGCTAAAAATTTATTCAAAAAAAAAAAAAAATTTAAAAATAAAAATACTTAAAAATTTATTACAGTTAACGATTTGAGGAAAAACTAATAATAACGAAACAACTAATAACGATATAACTAATAATAACAGAACCAAAAAAATTCTCATGAGCGAAGAAGAAAGGTGGGTCTCGTCCAATGAAAATTCAGCTTGAAAAACCTCCACCTCCTGTCATTTCTGTTTAGGAGGAATCAATCGGTTATTTTTAAAGAGGTTGCTGTCGAAACTTTGCTAAGAATTGGCGATTGTTGATTATTAAAAACTGTATAAAATATTATATATTAGAAGGGTTTTTTTTTAAAATATGTGGGGGAGGGAATGCCAACCTTCCTCCATCATAAGGTACCTCAAGATTAAATCAAGTTCTTATATACTTGTGAATTGTCGTTTTTAATAATTGCAGTGTTAGTTATGCAATAAAATTGTGTAAAGAATTAGTTATAAATTACACACTTCATTTAAAAATGCAGGTACTCTAGTTTCTTAATTCATCCTTTGTTATTTTGTAATCTTTTATTAACCAATAAAGTGTTTAAAGGTATTTCATGTGTTTCTAATTCTGAAAGGAGCAGGGGGAGAAAAAACAGATTTTGAAGAAGAGAATGTTATAGTGTGGAAATTATTTCACTGCTCCATTTTAGAAGTTCATTTCATACTATGAAATGATTGCTAGAACTTGCACCATTAAAACATTTTCAATGTGTTCAATAATTAAAGATTGAAAGAGGAGACAAACTCATCTATGTTGATAATGAAATAAAACAACAGGATTGCCACTCAAATCTGAACACAATATATTAAGAGGAAAAACATCATACCTAAAACAAATAATGCTTTAGTAAATGTTAATATAGCTGAAATATCCCATAGATTGCAGTTTCTGTGGTCACCATTTTTTTAAAAGACAAAATTAATAAAAACAAAATTCCTTGCATTTTTCCAGTTTCTAAAGAAAAACATCCCTCTTATTTTAGGTGATTCCCCTGTAGAGTAGCAACCCTGTTTAGAGTTAATCAGTCAGTAATTTACAATTTTACATCATAAAAAATGTAGATATGAAAAGAAATCACATACTTTGAAGATCTCCTATTCTAATGATGTGAGGCCAGTGCTGCAATGTTTTAGCAAAAAAAGGGTTCGTTACTCCGAGTATCACTGGAGGGCTGTAATAAAATCTGTATATACTAGGGTTCATTGCTTTCTCTTTTGCAATTAATTTTTTTACACATTAATTGGCCGTTCTCAAGTAGTGCATAACTGACAAATAACATTTCTTTCAAATTAAATCAATTGTGTTGCGTTAAGTAAAATACTTGGTTATTTACCAGTTTTATTGCATATTCATTGACTAAGTATGTCTCTCATAAAATTATGTATACTTAAGTTTTGCTCATCATTTTCAATAGTTAATTCATTATCAACTATGAAGAAAAACTCATTAAATCGAACACTGAACTTTTACGTCCTTTGCCTAGGAAGATACAGGAAGTATTACTCATACAACGTTACCCATTGGGCATCTGTGAACCTAAGTCATGGAGGCGAGCAACATTACCCACTCACACAGATACCCGTTTGTAGGGTGGGCCACATTCACACAATAGAGAACAACACACAGAGAGAAACATCCTGAGCGGGATTCGAACCCGCAGTCAGACACACTAATCGGCTCAATCGAATATACAAATTATTGAAATGATCTTTGAGCGCGGTTATAGTTTGATCATCTGATCAGGCTTCAAAAGTTATTAAGGTTTTGAAACACAAAAGTTTATTCAAGTGTGACATCACTCTCTAGCACTAATATCTTTTTTTAAGACACTTTTAATAATAACAACAATTACATATGTTGCGAATTTAAAATAACAAAAGCGTTGTGTTTACAAAACAAAAAAACTATAGATAATATTTTTAATTAAACATGTAAAAAAAATTTTTTTCTTATATTAAGAGTGATATTCACGAAGCTTGTTGAGAGAAAAACTCATTATTTATTTTCATCTTCGCAATTCGTAAATAATCATCATAATAAAAAATAACAATCATGAAATCCGTTGCCGAAAAAAAGATAGACAACGGAATCACACGAATCGGACTCCTCAAAAAGGGATTACTCAAATATGTGTTTCATTTTGAGATTAGATTATTGTAATAAATAATATTGTACAAAAAATATCGGATTTATAAAATTTTAGAGAAATGAATAGCAATAATAGCCAAAAAAATCTATAAAATCATTGCTTTAAAAAGTAAATACTCAAATGCACGATTCGAGTTTTCTATATTGTTTGAAATGTATCGAGATATTTAAAAACCATGAGAAAATAAACATCAATAAACTGCCTAAAATACAATCGAAACATTATAGCGATTTTCGATACTATTGCCGTAAATTGAGAGTGCCAAAAAGTTATTATCTAAACGCATGATTGAAAATTTACATGTAAATTTCTGCAGAAAAGAAAACTAAAAATTTTTATTTTTCATAACAAAAATCTTTCTACAAGAATTCTGTGACGTTCTGCGACAATGTTGCCATGATTCTACCACATGGGTAATTTATTTTTAAAAGTTAATCATACTGTTTCTGAATATGAATAATACCTTAGTTGATCCATAATTAGTTGTGAATTGATATCTTTCTGAATAATAAATGTTAAATTTGGCTGTAAAATTTTTACATCATTATAACAAATGAAATATAAGAAATATAGCTTAATATTAGTATGATTTTTCAATGTGCTAGCTTGATTGTTTAAATATTTTTGTATACTAGGTTTAAACGAGATCATGAAGTATTCTATCCCAGTGGAAAAGAACTTCTTTTTCGAGCCATTTAAAATTGTATGCTTAACTCATTGAGTTACTCTAGGAAAGGATTTATATATTTTACTATGAAAATAACATAAAACTAATTTTTTATATTTAGTTATTTTATTTTATTTCTTTAAGAGATGAAACTTAAAATTTTTGATAGGAATGAAGAAAGAGAATTTAATTTTTCTGTCATTTAAATACACATCATTTATTGTTTTTCATAAACTAAATGCAATAAACTTTAGGACACAAAAACTGAAATTGCATATAACAAAAGCATGCTTTAGGGTTCCCACTCAATTTTTTTTTAAAAATTCAATGACTTTTCAATGACTTTCAAGGACCTAAAATCAAATTTTTCAAGGACCTATTTGGTATTATTCTTATATGCTAAAGTAGTACATGTCAAGCAGATTTTACAATTATGTAGAAGCAGAAATTGTATATTTTAAAATCACAATGCTTATTTGACAACAACAAAAAAAATTTTATTAAATTCATCAGCTAATAATACAAATGATTGATACATTGCTGTTTCAAATCACTTAGAAAAATTCCAATTGACAAAAAAAAAAAATCCAACAATACAAACTAACATCAGTGTAACTTTTCATGAAAAATTAGAATTAATGAAACTAAATGAATGTATAATGCATATTATACATTCATTTAGTTTCTTTCAAACAAGCATAGTAAATAATTGATAAAGGTTGTTTAATAGCATGGTTATTAAATTATAAATATTTTTCTTAATATGTTAGACCAAATTTTAGGATACAGGAAATGTATATAATTAGATAAATTATCACTTTAACATATCTGTTTCATTTATAATATCAAATTTTTGATTTTGTTAGAATATTAGTAATGTATTTTGAACATAATAAAATCTATTGTAGAACAATATTTCACAGATAACTATCGAAGACTTACCGAGCTTCATTTTCTTTAAAATATATCCATAAAATATGAAGCATGATTTTTAAAATTTTGTGAAAATGGGTAATTTTCACTAAGCGTAATTTTTAAATCGCATTTATATGAATCTAGATAAACTATATGTAAATCGAAATTATAAGAAAAGTGCAGTAAGTCTCTAAGATTGCGTAAATCACATATCACAATGTGTGATTTGTAAATTGAAAAGCGGTGTATGTTTCTTAAATCGGAATAATATGAATAGCAAATGATACAAAGCGCATGAACTAACAAGACATAAACTACAATGTAAAATACATACCTGCCAACTTTTAATCCCTTCCATAATGATTTTTCCCAGTGGTATTAAAATTTCAATTTTAAGCAAAAAAAATATGTTGTATTTGAAAAAGCTTAAGCTGACAACCATGATAGTAACACGTATTAATATATATGCTTAATTTTTTTAAGAATAGTGGTGAACAAAATAATTTAAAAATTAAGTTAATAAAAGAAAAAAATAGTATATATTTACTACCACTTTAAATATAAAAATAAAATTTTACGCCAAATGCGTAAAAGTTGGCAGGTATGAAGATACATAAATCACTTTAATGTGAATTCTGTTATGTGATTAGCTAATAGTTTTCATGAGAATAGTGATCATTAAGATGCAAATTGCAATTTGTGATTCGAAAGGTGCCATATATAGAACAGCTATGTGTGATTCTTAAATCATTTTGATGAGAATTGTGGGTGGTAATTCTTAAATCTCTCTTTTGTGAATTGCAATACGTGATTTTTAAACTACTAGAATGAGAATTGTGAGGCATGATTCTGAAATTACTTAAATACGTTACATGATTCAGAAATAACTTCTGATGAGATCTGATATTAATTCTGATGAGTAATTGGCAAATCACTTTACAATAATATTCAATATGCGATTCATTAATCACTTTCAGTTAAACCACAATTTGTAGAACATTTTATATGAATTACGATCTGTAAATCAAGAATCAGTTTAATGTGAATCACGATGTTTATTCATAATCAATGAAACCTGTAGAACTAAATTTTATTTATTAGCAGTAAAAACTAAATGTAAAAATTTTATTGTAAATGATAAAAAATTAATTATTCTTTGTACATAAATTAAAAGAACAAATAGGATAACAATATTAACCTGTCGTAATAATGGAGTTAACACATTGAACATATTTCTAAATCAGTTGAACACTTTATATCATTCGAAAATTATGACTAAAAAACCTAAAATTTGCTAGAAATTTTAGCTTTCAATACATCAGAGTCTGAAAAATCTGGGAGAAAAAAGTTTTGAGAGAAAAATTGCATAAATCAGAATTTCTATGATTTTCCTTTGAATTTATTTATTATTTTTTTACTACTTTTTGTAAGAAAAATTAGTAGTATTTTAATTCCTACAAAATCAAGTACTTTTCAAGTACCCTATGGCAAAATTCAAGGACTTTTCAGGGCCCTGATATTTTTTTTTAACCAAATTCAAGGACTTTCAAGGTTTTTCAAGTACTGTGGGAACCCTGTGCTAATAAATACTAATTAATTTAAATTAATTTTATTTGCATCATATATCTTTTACTCATAATTGGTATAGAATAAAGTTTAAAATAATACTTGATAGATTTAGCGTCATAAAGTTTAATCGCCTTCAATCATTTGTACTATATAAACATTAAATGAATAAAATTTTATTTATTAAATGAAAATATAAACAGTTGAGGTTCGCTTTTTCTTCTTCTAAAATTTGTGAAATAAATCATATTGCTGATTACAAGATGTATTTTTTAATACAAAACATAATAAATTCAAATTTAAAGAAATTTTTAATTAAAATTTGATATTCATTGCTGCCAGCTCTACTGGATTTACCAGTACATTACATTACTGGCCAGTTTTTCTCAGTCTACTCACTGGTTGTTGACTATAGAAAATTCCTTAAAATTGAGTAAGTTTCCGAAAAAAATTCCGATTGAAACAGAATTTTTACACATTTTATTGAATATAACCTATACAGGAGCATAATTTACAGAGTCTCTCATCATTTACATTACGTCTGGGACAGAGAGATTGTCCTTACTTGTTATCGGAAAAAACCGAAATCTCCGATGTTTCAAGAATGTAAAAACGTATCCTTTGGATGGCATCAGTTTTATTTGAAGACTATGTAAGAAAATTGGATCGGAAATTCTTCGCTAAAAAAGAAAAGTGATACTCTTTATGGATAAATGCACAGCACATAGTGATCTACCTAATTTGAAAGCAGTAAACTTGCAGTTTCTCCCGCCAAACACAACAGCAAAGTTGCAGCCGATGGACCAGGGTATCATAAAGTGCTTCAAACAGTCTTATCGTAAATGGCTTGTCAGAAAAATGATCTTAAATATTGTAAGCAATTAGAAGATTTGTAATTAATAAGCATTAATTAAATAATACGACAATATTTTGAAAGTCTAAAACTGAAACTAACGGTAAGTCATAAAGTAAGTTTTTCGTCAGTCCTATCAGATTCGAGTTATCGCGAATTCACTGTATTTAAAATTTTGAGTTAGCATAACAAAAAATTCATTTATTCAAATGGCTTGTCAGAAAAATGATCTTAAATATTGTAAGCAATTAGAAGATTTGTAATTAATAAGCATTAATTAAATAATACGACAATATTTTGAAAGTCTAAAACTGAAACTAACGGTAAGTCATAAAGTAAGTTTTTCGTCAGTCCTATCAGATTCGAGTTATCGCGAATTCACTGTATTTAAAATTTTGAGTTAGCATAACAAAAAATTCATTTAATATCAATCCTATCTGAAAAATATTACAGAATATTTATTAGTGTCATTAAATTTTTGTGTTTTGATGACAAAAACTCCTAAAAATTCATTCTATGTAAAATGTTTAGTACAACAGTTATCATGAAATATATATTTCGTAAAATCAACCAGATTTTTTCTTGTCGATATGGAAAGTGAATATTTGTCAGTATTTACTGGATATTTCCTATCTATCTATGGTTGGCAGCTATGAATATTGTTAATTTAATTAAAAACACAGAAGAATGTTTTTGAAACAATATTAATCAATATTTTATATTACTTTTTTTTTCCATCACACTTTTAATGATTTCGAAATTTGACAGCACACAAGGAAAAAAGTTAAGTTTAAAAGTTGTTTACTTACCTATATTACACTGTGTAAAATAATTTATAATAATAATTTTGAAGGTAAAATAAAATAATATGTACAACAAAAACACGCTCATGAAGAGATTAATTACAAGTTAACTGTTTTTTTGTTGTTTTTTTTGCTATTTATTAATTGTTAGCTTGTTTTTTATAGTTATTAATTTTTAGTTTTTTTTACATTAATTGTTATTTTTGTGCGATTCCTTGTTAACTTGTTTTTTTTTTTTTTGCTAATTATTAATTGTTAGCTATTTTCGTTAGTTTTCCTCTGTTAATTTGTTTTTATAACAATTAATTGCACAGCTTATTTAAATTGTTAGCTTTTATTTCCTTTTGTAAGTTAATATTTCCTTCTCTTGTTAATTACTAATTTTAATCCTCGTTAAATTTCCTACTTATTTTAAGATTGTCAAAGACAGGCTGTCAAAAGATGTTCAAAAGTGAGAATAAAAAGATACTTTTCTTCAATTAAGAATGAAAAAAGCATTTTAATTTTTATTGCATCATTTAGAGGCATACAAAATTGGTTGAGAATTTAACAAAAGGGCATCAAGGTATAGTAAAAAATAAATACACACAATTTATTTATTTTTTAAAAAAATAATAAAAAACTTACGGTGCTTGTACTTTTGTTGTATACTCCTTGAATTCACTATCATGAATTGTAAAAAATGGTCTATAATCACAACAGTACTTAAGAGGCCAAATCATGCTTTTAAAAAGAGAAGAATAAATAATATGAGAAAAATCCCCAGAATTACACATTTCAAATATATATTAAATCCTAAAAGTAAATAATTTTGTCGCTGTAAAATAAATCAATGACCACCAATGAAACAGTTCTGTTATAGCAATTCATTAATCTTTTACATTATTTTATAAATTTTTTTTTTTTTTACCCTTTATCAAAGCAGGTACTCAGCAAGTAACATATGGGGAAAAAACTCTCGAAACTAATAGTGAGCAACAAAAAGCAATTTATAGTCGGTAGGACATCTGGCACTTTCAAATATACTAATAATATGGCATGTTATTTTAAATATCACAATACTACGCAAAAAGAAAAGTTGAATCAAAATTAAAGTACATTAAACGATAAAATTTTTATAACAAATAAAGGACTCCTCTAAAAAGGTTGAATGAGACTGAATCGTTATAATGATTCAGTCTCATTCACTCATTTGACCTCACTCAATATTAATTTATTGTTCTGTACACAAAAAGAATTATGTTTTAAAATTAAAAAACAGACAATTGTCAAAAGGGAAAGATGTTTTTGTTGTGATCTCTCTCTTGGGTAGTAAACAAATGCAAATCTATTTTTAAAATGCATTTTTAATGCCAGTCAAAGAGAAATGTTATCTATTTAAAACATAGGAGATTCTGTATAGAAATCTCATACACACTTCATATTGTGATAAAAGTCTTAATAGAAAGTTTTCATTCTATTTTATATCCGTCGTTGAACAGTGGACCCAATTTTGGATTTACGACTACTAATGTTCAATTCCATAGCCTTGTCATTTTGAATCCAATTCAGAAGACAAGGAAACTCCTGGATAAAGTATTGGGAGAAATTTTGCCATCGTTGGGGACTTTTTCGATGGGACTAACCCACATTTGCACTATATGGAGAAGAAGATCACGAGAACCTCCCACGGTTAGCTTGACATGAAAGAGACTCTAACCCATGATCCGTCTACCACTGAGGATATTTATCATCAGCACTGTGGTCAGTGCACGCCAAATGCGAATTCGTATCGACCAGCCATAGGTGAGATTCGAACCCGGTTCACCTCATTGGAAGGCGATTGCTCTATCCCCTGAGCCATCGCGACTTGTAGATTTGAAAAGGGGGTTTTACGCTTACTATGTTCAATAAAATCTTGTCCACTTTTGTATAAGTATGTAACAAACATTGATTTGGCCGAATATCAACATTTCTTTCTTCACTAAAACATTATTTATAAATAAGCTTAGTCATTATTGAGAAATATTCAAAACTTAGCTATGGCATTGGTAGGGTGTAAAAGGCGAAAAAAAACTATTATAGTTATCCATCAGAAATATTTAAGATAAACTAACAACTATTACTAGAAACTCTTTTAAAAATGTCATGCTATTATGAAAACGCCCATTAAAAAAAAAGTTATATACAAAAGCGAAACAGTAAAACTCAAAATAAATCTTAATTTTTGAATGAAAAGATAGAGCTACAATGAAAACAGAATCTGGCATCTATCTGGGCTATAATGAAAACAGGAAAAATGAAACAAAAAAAAGCAAAACAAAAGTATTCTCAATATTTAAAACAAAAAGTGTTAACAAAAATAACGAAATCGACCTGCCCAAAAATAAGCTGCACAAAACTTGTGGTTCAGTATAAAGTAATCTACTTTCAATTCTTCATATTTCACTTTTTCATTCGTCTTTCAGAACATAAATATATAAGTTTTAAAGCTTAACAAAAAGGTGTAAGATTTATTTTCGATAATGCACAGTTAAAAATACAATTTTAAATAACTCTTTATTAAATCAACTCAAATTCAAAAAAAATAAATAAATAAATAAATATTTCGCAAAAAATACTTGACCAAATATTTGGCCGAATATTAGGCCAACCGAATATTCAACAAAAGGGTCGAATATTCGTTACATTTCTTCTTTTGTATATACATGTACAAACACAGTTGATGCTCAATACAATGACTAGAGTGATACAAATATTGTGAATATTTAAAATTAGTGTGTTAATATTCCACACACATGGTTCTCACTTAAAGAAAGAAAATTCCCCCACTTATCCAGGTGTCTCAGAAGATGTAAATATGTTTTTATCTATACCCGTACAATTTTTTCATTTGAAAAGTTTGATATAATTATTTATAATGTCAAATATTAGATTTTGTGAGTAAAACAATATCATTGAATGAGGATAGGAAAGATTTATTAAAAGTTTTTTTTGACAACAAATAACTGTAATAGATGTTAGAATGACTTAAAACGAATATAAATAACTGATTGTAATTACTGAAAATTCCAAGACTTTTTAGAATTAAAATGATGATTTCAGGACTGCAGTAATGGGTGGTCATACTAAAGACTGTATTATATAATGTAACATAATTTAAAATGAATTACCTAATTAAAGCTTGAACAATATCACAGGTTATTGTAGGTGAACTAGCCATCACAATAATAGGCTAAAAAAGAAAGTAAAAAAAAGGGTAAATACAGTTTTCTGTAGTCACAACTATACAGATCAGTTGGATTAATTTATGTCAAGAGTAAAAAGAGTTATTTTACAACTTGCAAAAATATAATTTAAAATGTTACATTGAAAACTTACATAAAAGAAGACCAAAAGTTTTTTTTTTTTTCCTACCTTAAAACTTTTTAATGACTGATTCTGGTGTAAGAGATTCATAAATGATATTTTAAAACCCATTTGTGATGGATAAAAGATTTGAAAGAAAAATTTCTCTTATCTGGTATTGGTTAACTGCAACTGTTAAGATGATCTTTATAATAAAAACCTAAAAACATGACAGTTTGTAAAAAATGAGAGACAAAATTCCAAGTTTGAAAAGATCTCTTTTTAGATGATTTCCCTGTGGAGTGGCAACTCTGAACACCTATATAAAGGTTTTTGTGACACCCTAGAAGGACCATTCAAGCATTGCCTAATAAAACATCTGCTTCAGAATAAATTTCAGATACTTTAAAACGTCATCCATTCTTGTTATCTTATCAAATAATTGCAGTCTGTTCTTGCTGGAAATTTCTTCAATACAATGTTTGTAGAGTGTCCATTCTACAGAACTTGTATTTAGAATTCACTTCAATGATACACAACCAATGTAAATAAAGTTGCCTTCCTGTCTCTTAACACTAAACATACCAGAAACCGGTCAAATGACTGCATCGCTTTCTGCATGTTTGGCTTCGTGACTTTTTCTAACAATTATATGCAGCTGGTATTCTATCATTACTTTTTTGTATTCTGTTTGCTTCGAATAATACGTGTCGTCCACCCGTTTCTACCGTGACCGGTCGTTCGATCGGGAGAACACTTTATTGCTTCATAAGGTTATGGGATCAGAAATGACGATGTAATGCGTGTTCGACCTATTGCATTGGATCGATTGTACATTTCTGCAAAGACTGTTGCTTAGTGAGTTCAATCAGAATAACTGTGAATTCAAGAAAGTACCTAACATTTTAGAGTGGCATTTTTGTGTCAGAAAAAGAGACAAAAACTAAATGTTTTGGTAAATAACATATATTTTATTTTGATAGCTTTACTTCATTTCTAACTAACTGTTAGTTTTTACCCAGAAAAATGTCGAAACAATCAAGATGGCAAGAGTTCTTTGAAGAAATAATATTAATTATAAGAATTAAAATTCTTATAATTATATAGGAATAATTATAAGTAGGGTCCGCCTTTGTGAATGTGTGCAAATCGGGTCTGTTATTGCAAAAAAACTTTTTCAAGGTGTTTTTAAATTGTAAAAACATACAAGATTTTGCTCAACACTGTAAAATTATAATTAAAAAAAATTAAATTTTAAAAAATAAACAGCAATTGCAGCTACTAAATTAGCGATGCAACATACAAATATTTGGTATTTATTTAGCCTATACTGCTGAACGCAGAATATTCATTTCGGACGAATAAAGGAAGAAGCGTCTGCCGAAGAAATAATTTAGTTCGTTTACATCAGTCTTTCTCCCCCTTGGGAAGGGTTTATTGATTAACAAAACAATAATAAAGATAAACAAATTTGTGAATGGTCCGATTAAAAGATCAATTATTTTGTGAAGGTTCCGTTTTTATGAAAAGATATTTTGTGAAGGGTCCGTTAACGGACCCAAATTTCTTCTAAACAGACCCCTGATTATAGAACTGCGGGGAAAAAAGGAATATTTACTTTCGCAAATAGGAAATATGAATAAGACCCCAGTCATGTTTGACATGATCGGTAATAAAACAATTGATTTAAAGGGAGTAAAATCTGTCAGCGTAACAACAATGGACATGAGAAATCTCATTTCATCGTAGCCCTTTCTTGCTTAGTGGATGGAACGAAACTAAAACCAATGGTTATTTTTAAGAGAAAAACTTTTCCAAAAGGTATTTTTGTTCATGTCCATGAAAAAGGCTGGATGGACGAAAATGGTGTTAAATTGTGAGTAAAAAATGACTGGCAAATCCGTCCTGGTTGCGTAAGAAAACCAGGAAGCCTTTTAGTGTGGGACATGTTTAGGTCCCACCTTACAGATAATACAAAAAAAAATTTGAAAGAATGTAACACCGATATGGCAGTTATTCCAGGCAGATTGATACCATTACTTCAGCCATTGAACGTCTGCTTAAACAAACCATTTAAAGCCACTTTAAAAAAAACAGTGGAACACTTGGATGTTGGACGGCGAGAAAACCTTTACGAAAGAAGGACACATGCGTCATGCAAGTTTGGAAACAGTGTGCGAATGGATATTAAAAGCATGGGATGAAATTAAGCCTGAGATGGTTAGAAAATCGTTTAAAAAAATGCAGCATTTCAAATAATCTGGACGGATCAGAAGATGACTGTTTATTTATGGATGAGGGTAACACAGATGATGAAGACGAAACAGATTGTGATGACGTGCCTGAAGAAATAACGGAAGACGAATATAATGAACTATTTATGTAATAACGAAAATCAATAAAGTATATAGGTAAAGGTATGTTATTTCTTTAAAATAAAAGTATTTTTCTATATTTAAATTTTTTTAATCTATAATTTTTTATATTCGGCGTATACCGCGCACCCGTAAGTTCCAATGTTAATTTTTGGTTAAAGTGCGCGTTATACGCCGGAATATACGGTATACATTAAGTGTTGGTATGTTTAGTGTTAAGAGGACGCACGGAAGAAAATCTCTCTCACCCTCATTACTAATTTAATGCGTAGAAGAAAGAAGAAAAAAAAGAGTTCAAACAAATCTAGAGTGAGAAATGAAGTTTCAAACACTGAAAAGAAATTTTTGAAATTTACAAATGAAAATAAATTATGAGATAGCGTAGGATTGTGCAACAGAGAAGTTCTCTTCGAATAATTTGTTTGCATTTTAACATTCTGAAGAAATTTTTTTTTCAGCAATTGAAACTTCATGACTATCTCTATTTTTGCCTGAACTTACTTTTTTTTCTTTTAAATTAGTAATAAAAGAGTGAGAGAATTTGCGATGAAATTTTTTTTTCTGCAGAATGGCATCCTCTTAACAGTTAAATTGTATAAGCTTTCATAATACCTTAGCCATTAAAGGAATATTTAATTTTCTATTTGGGGCATGTGATATAAACTTGTTAGGCCTGATTGAGTACCACAGCTTAACAGTTTGTTATACAATGCTTTTATTATAAATATTTAATAATAGCTGAAATCCCCATTTTTGTTGTCTCTGATACCAACCCTAAATGATGAAAATTTAAATCCTTAGAAACAGACAATTAATGATTATTGGAAAACTGGACAGAAACTTTATAACAACTCATTCAAAGGGTAACCTACGGATTAATTTCATGACTTACTCTAGGTTTGAATGTTAGGTTTGTAATGAAGGAAAAAGAGAATTTGCGACAAAAATTTTCTTCCACAGTATGGCGTCTTCTTATCTTGATAAAAACATTTTATTGAATAAAACACAACATTTTATTAGTGCATGCTGTACATTATTTAATTGCTGATGTAAATGAGCACTAATGTTATTTATCAAATCTGTAAATGTTAAAATATTTTATCAACAGCCAGATAACGAGAAACATCATGAAAATCTTACTTCTGATGTAACTACAAGTTCCCACAGTAACTGAATATGAGATAACACAGGTAAAAAGCTCCTAAGATAAAAAAAAAAAGGAACAAGATTTATATACGAGTTGAACCTAATTCCGATTAAATTTCATCACATAAAAGGTCATTTTTATCACAATATCAATTCCAATATACATTAATATTACATTATTTTGAAAATATGAATTATTTTGAAATAATATAATTTAGCACTTAGTGGGAATATTCACAGAGCTAATCCACCGAAGACACAGAAAAATGTATTTTTTAACATATATATAGATATATAATATTGGCAGTTATGAGAGCAGGACAAAAAGGCACAGGATTTTAGAAACAGAAATTTAATTTTATTTAATCATCATTATGAGAGAAAGAATATCAAAGTGACACAAAATCATTGTACTCTTCAATAAAAGTTAGGGAAAATCTTCTAAAGTAAATCCGTAAAATGCTTCATTTTAGGGAAATCTTAGTAATTGTTATTGATCTATTAAATAGGGCTAGGGAAATAGTCTTTCCCACGAGTAAGTTGAAGGTATAATAGTTAAAATATTAATTAATACATACTTGAACTAAAAATAGATTAAAAGACAAGATGCGAATTTCAAAGTGTGAGAAAGGGCGTTTAGTTTTGAATCATATATAAAGAAAAGGACTTACAGAAAAGGAATAACATAAAGAGATCAGTTGAAGCTTTTTATGTTACACACACGCACGCACACACACACACAGATATATAACACATAACTCCATTTTCCATTTTGCTTCTGTTTTCATATTTTATAATCTGTGAATCTTATTACGAATATTTTAAATCATTCTTGAAAGAATTTTCATTAAATTTTATTTTCTGTGTTTTGTGTGACATATTTTTTAATTTATGTGTTTTATTTTTAGGGATCTGTCCAGACATTTTGTGAAAGGTTCGTTTTTCGTGAAATTGTAAAAAAATCACGTACATTCTTTCAAGCAGGGTCAGCTTTTATGCATTTGTGCAAATAGGGTCCGGTGATTGCAAAAAACTTTTTCAAGGAGTTTTTAAATTCTAAATAGATACAAGATTATGCTCGGAACTGTAAAATTATAATAAAAAAATTAAATTATTAAAAATAAACAGCAATTGTTGCTTCTAAATTAGAGATGCAACATGCAAATATTTGGTATTTAGCCTATACTGCTGAACGCAGAATATTCATTTCGGACGAATAAAGGAAGAAGCGTCTGCCGAGGGAATAACTTAGTTCGTTTACATCAGTCTTTCTCCCCCTTGGGAAGGGTTTATTGATTAACAAAACAATAATAAAGAAAAACAAATTTGTGAATGGTCCGATTAAAAGATCCATTATTTTGTAAAGGGTCTGTTTTCAAGAGGGTCTGTTTCTGAGTGGTAGCGCTTCGCGCTGTCGTGCCACAGGTCCCTGGTTCGATCCTCGGGCCGAGTAAGGTTGACTGAGCTGTTCATCCCTTCAGTGGGTCGATAAATGAGCACCAAGCATGCTTGGGAACTAAACACTGGGGGTTCTGCGTTCGGCTGACCACCTGACCAGAACATCTGCTTCTGCACCCCAGAGCCCAAGGTCAAGAAAACTGAGATGGGCACAGTAGGCCTTGGCACTCTAGGGCTGTCGCGCCGCTGAGTTTAGTTTTAGTTCAGATGGAAGAATCGTCTGCCGAAGACAAAACTAAATTCCTTTACATCCATATTTCATGTTTTCTGCCCTGGGAGGGGTTTATTCGATTAACAAAACAATAGTGAAGATAAACAAATTTGTGATGGGTCCGATTAGAAGAAAAATCATTTTGTGAAGGGTCCGTTTTTATGAAAAGATATTTTGTGCAGGGTCCGTCAAATTTCTTCTAAACAGATCCCTGATTTTGCTTAAATTCTTCTCATTGTTCTTCACACTATAATATTAATATATTTTGTTACATGGATTACAATGTTAGAAAGCACTTCTTTTTGTGGATATAAGCGTGTGAACTAATTCCGAGATTACATCAATTAATTAATTTTGTTTCTCAGCTCTTTAATATATTTTTAATTTTTTCCTTTAATATATTTTATTTTAATAATTTCTCTTCGTCTTTTCATTAATCTTTAGTGTTTTCCATGTTTTCTAAATATTTTTTAACTTTACATACATTTATACAGTGGAATTCCGATTTTACGTTTTTTGCTTGACTAGCATAAAAAAAATGCACGAAGGGGGATAAGATAAAATCGAATTAAAAGAAAATCTTAGCATATTTTTCAAAAATCGTTGAGCTACTAAAAATATGTAATCTTTACATGTTTTTTATTTTTAGAAAACAATATACTTTTATCGCTTTTTATGTTTTTAAACTCAGTTCTTATCTTCATCATTTACTATCTATTTCATTACTATTATTGGGCATTGAATCAGCAACACTTCAGAAGATCTTCAGTCACACAAAGGCCCCCATTGGATACCGCTTCATTAAATCCACTTGTGATGTATTTTAGTAGACACTATCCAATGCTGTAGAAATCAAATTCAGAGCTTTCAAAAAATTTCTTTTTGCTTTAGAGGCATTTCACAGGAATCAAGAAAAAGAAATGATTGCTTAGTTATAACATTCTTTATGTGATTGTTTCTCATATTTCCTTCAACCATCATCTCTTGATTTTAACTTAACCCCTCTCACAGACAAAAGGGCAATAGGATAGAATAGAAAGAAAAACACCAAAGTGCTAAATAAAAAGTATCTTTAAAAAAAAGAAAACCCAGATGGCTTGCCCAAGCTTTGTAGAGAAAAAAATAATTTTGATCAGTTTGAAAAAGGCAAAAAGCAGGATTTTTTAATAAGGGTAACATAAAATCCAAGATAATTTAACCTAATTGGTAAAGGAAATTTTCATGGAGCAGCAGAAAATGACATAGGAAGCGAGATAGAAAACAAAATGGACAATGTGTTCCATTGTATATACAGTTGAACCCGTTTATCTCAAAAACCTCTATATCTCGACATTTCTAAAATTCACTACATTTACAATCTAAAGTCAATGTATTTTCCACGCTTACGTTGAACATTTCTTTTCAAAACCTCCGTTTCTCGAATCTCTAATAATAGAGCACAAATATCTAAACAACATGACTTTCTTTATCAGTAGAACTTGCAGGCGGAGACCCACAGGAAGTAGAGATGAACAGGTTGGGGGCTGTTTCTTGGAATTTCGAACTCTGTCCCTGCACTCGCTTAACTTGAAAAGAATACAATGATTCTGACAGTAAGTGAGGGGTTGATGAGTAGTGACCACCAGGGGTTTAGAATAGAAATGCATTTTCAACTCAAAATTGCAACCAATGGATCAAAGGATAATTAGGAGTTTTAAAAGGAACTATAGAAAACAATTGGTACGCAAACTTGTAGATGCCATCGATGAAAAAAGTTCTCTTCCAAAAAATAAATGTGGTTGATGCTATCAGAATGACTGTTTTGCCTGGAGAAATGTGTCGCCAAAAATTATCCAAAATGATTTTAAAATGGCTGGTTTTAAGAATAGCTGTGAAGATGATGAATGAGAGGTTGAAGGCATCAGTAAAGAAGAAGAAACTGGTGATGCTGAAAATACAGTGCTAGATTTGCAAGAATGGAATGCAATAAAATTGAGATTTAGTGTTGAAGTTAATTTTGACGATTTTTACAAGTGGATAACTGCCTGGCAACATGCAGAACATTGGTAGATGCGAAAATCATAGAAAATGCCAAAGGAATATCAGTTGAAGAAGTTGAAAATCATATTGATGAACCAAAAGTGAGAACAAAACAAGCAGAAAAAGTTGTAGAACTCTTACAGACTTTCATTAAATCCTAAGAAAATATTGGCTGTTAGGGATTTGCTGCTCTTTCTAACCTTAAAAGAAATATTTAAAACAAAGAAGGTTAGACATCAATAATATTTGAAAAATTATTTTCAGAGTTAAATGTATGTTAAAAAAATTTTATGTAAATAGATGTATTTACAGAAATGCTTGCATTTTTTTACTAAAAAGAATCTAAGTACTTTTAATAGAATTTCTTAATTACATTTTTTAAAGTACCGGTATAACTCGAAACCTCTTTATCTCAAATTTTTTATCTTTCCCGTGAGATTCGAGATAAACAGGTCCAACTGCGTGTAAATATATATCACTTAAATCGGTTCACACTTATTTAGGTGATTAGACTTTATACACTTTAAATGACTTAATTTAAATTATTTCATCTAGACCAAATAAATATAAATAGTTGAGCTTATTTTCGATTTAAATATTTAACAAAAATAAGTTAATGTTGCATTTTTATTTTTTAATGCAATCCTATAAAAATAGAGAAGTCTAAGTTGTTGGCCTACCTTTAACAGTGTAAAAAGAATGAATATGAGAAATAAATTAACCATAATAATAAATGAAAAGAAATCAAAGCCTTTAATAGCCTTCAGTCTTCAGCAAATAAAATCAGCATTCTTATTTTAAAAAATATAAGTAATAAATAATTTTTAAATGATAAAATGTTAAAAAAAATCCTCATCCTGAAAAAAAAAATAGTTGAATTTGTATTTGAAAAATAACATAAAAATTTACTTTAGATTTCATCAACATAAAATATTTATGAAAGTATTTTACTCATGTTCTTCCAACTATAGTTGGAATTACTAAAAACATGATACATGAAAATATGGCTGTAAAAATATGACTGAACTTACTGAAAGATGTCTACTTCATATGAAGAAGGGATATTGATTTTTTCATATATTTGTACCTGAAAAATCACATCTTTAGTAGGAATTTAAACAAAGAGGAATAATATGAAACACTGACATGAAAATTATTGTTCTCAGATAAATAATTTTACAAACTACAAAAGTATAAATGTATAGAAGTTAAAAATATCGATAAAGCATGGAAAATATTAAAGATAAGAGAAAAATTATTAAAATAAAATAAAATAGCTTGAGAAAAAAATTAAAAAGCTGGAAAACAAAAAATGAAAAAGATATAATCTCTTCACCAGGTCGCACGATTATATATCTGCAAAAAAGAAGTGCTTCTCTAATATTGTTGTCAATATAGCTAAAGCAAAATATATCAGTACAATAATATGAGAAGCACTAAAAAAAAGTGTAAACAAAATAGAACACATTAAGTAAAAAATATATCACGTAAAAAACAGAAAATAAAATGTAAAGAAAAAACAGAACAAAACACAAAATGATAACTACAAAGTGAGTAGCGAATTCAAATTAACTTACATTAAGCGGAATTTTCAAGAATGATTTACAATTTAATATAATGTTATTTCTCTGTCATCATTTAAAACTCTTACAATTAGAATTTACAAACGGCATTTCACTTCTAACTTTAAAGAATGCAACATTTGTTATAATATTCTTTAATCTAAAATTAAAAGTCTGCCTGATAAGTTTTTCCCCTTAAAAAAATATGAAACTTCTCAAACTATTTTAGCCTATCATAATTAATCACTGTAAGATGATGTTACGGATATCTTGTAAGATTTCCGTAACATTTAATGGAAATTTTGATTCTTTGTGGTTCCCTCTCTAATTCATAATGCCTAAATTAAAAGTGATGTACAATTCCTTACCCTTCAATATGTCATGCATATACAGTAGAGCCCTGATTATATCAGTTCCCACTTTAACCGAGCTATCAAATATTACAAGTTTTCTTTTTTTTCCTTGTTCAAGTTTATTTCTTGTTTTTAAAACTACCTCCAAAAAAATTAGGAATATTATCTTCCAAACACTCAGGAAAACAAAATTCAACAACTTGGTCCAATGAAATAATAGTTAATATCGTCAATAATGAAAATGAATCTAGCTAAGATGATAAAGACGATGAAAATCAACGTATAAAAATCTCTCATACACATGGATTAAAAACTATCAAACGTGCAATAGAACAACAAGAAGAGGCAACACCAGCATTCCTGCTATCCCTAAAAAAATAGTGAAACATTGCCGCAAAAAAGCGCCAAAGTAGTGTAAAACAAAAAAGATCAAGGACTTTTTTTAAGTAAAAACTCTTTCATTCTCCTAAAATATGCTCTTTAAGAGTTTTTAATCAAGCTTTTTAATTATAATATGAATTGTAAGAGGTGTACTTGTATAAATTTTGTATTTTTTAAATATATTACATTTATATCCACTTCTTCCTTTTTTATACTCTTTGCTTTAACTGGGTTTTTCGGTTATCCGAGATAGCCACGGTCCACATTAACTCGGGTAATCGGGACTCTATTGCATATGTGTATATAATATACATGAGGGTCATTTTTCAAATAAGAAACATTTTGTGATGGAGTAAAGGAAACTTTACAGGGTTGCCTCTCAAATCTGAAAAAAAAATCCCCTGTGTTTTCCCTGTACTTATCATACACAATATATTAAGAAGAAACAATTATTCTGCTCTTGAATGAGATATATTAGAGTAACTATATTAGTTCCAAAAAAAAACTTACATTAGCCAACACAAAAAGATCTAAAGATTTTTTGATCCGATTTCAGAGGACGGAAAATGACGTCTGAAATTGAGAATATCTTGCAAAATGCAGCATAGTTGCATACGAGAGTGTAAGTATCTCGTCGAAAGCGGCTCGGTAGATGCACATCCGGACTCGCAAGTATTTCATCACGCACAATGATTGGCTCTTTCGTATGCTACGGAGCGACGGTACGCCGAAACGGATTGCGGTTGATTGAACTGTGAAAAGGCTGAACAGAACAATGTGAAAAGCACGCTTTTGCATAATACGTAACGAAAATGGACATGATAACAAAAAAGAATCTCATTTTTGATAGGGAAAATTGATCACTTCTTAAAAACGCTATGCACCATGTTATCATTTAATACAAAATAATATTTGTGTTGACATTTTAACATTGGCCAGACTATAATTATCTGGTCAAAAGTATCTGGTTGTTATGGGGGGCATAAAATAATGTGGGTGGGAGATGTGTGTGGCTGCACTTCCATTCACACATCGAGGCTTTCACATTCAAAAACTGCCTTCTCAGAACAACTTTGAGAGGAATTAGAGAGCACAGGGTGCGTAGCCAAATTAAACAACAAAAAATAAACACCTTTTAAGCACTTTTCAAGCAATCAAAAAATACTTTTAAGCACTTTAAAAAAATATAACTAGGCAGGGTTTTAAAGTTCTCGACAATTGACAGTTTTATCTTGTTTTAATCGTCATGTCAAAAAAAAAAAAAAAAAAAAAAAAAANTTTTGGCATTGTTTTTGACAATTGTCAAAAATCATGAAATTTTGAATCATGTAAAACGAATGGCGTTTTCATACGCTACGGACTGACAATACGCCGAAATAGATTGGGGTTGAATGAATTGTGAAAACAATGAATAGAACAATGTGAACCGCGTCTTTTTGCATAATTCGAACCGAAAATCAACATAGTTAAGGAAAAATTTCATTCTGAAAAAAGGGAAATTAAGCACTTTTTAAAAACACCCAATGAAAAAAGCACCTTTAAGGCTTCTTAAAAAACAAAAATCAAAAATAAGCACTTTTAAGCACTTTTTAAAAGCGCTACGCATCCTGGAGCAGGTTACATAGCCATCCTCACAGCTGTGGTTATCAAAAATTGGTTTTCCACTCAGAAGGCTGTCTTCGATGAAAATAGGGGGGGAGGGCCAACATTGCGTTAATCAGGAAGCACCATATCACAGGGTGCCCGGATACTAGTGTATACCATCGAAAGAACTACCCTCTGATTGTGTGATAAAATGCATCAACAAAATAACTAGTCTAAACTAAATAATCAATTCTTAGGTAATGCGAACAATTTCATAAGCAACAATCTAGTGGTATATTTTCAAGAATCTTCAGGATACGGCATATTTTTGAACTGAATTGAGATTTCACTGCACAAAATGTATTATATACTATACCAGGACATGCATTTTTTTAATATATCCTAACCATGTATTTGCCAAACTTAAAAATGCGAGAATCCCGATTTTAAAAAAAAAAAGTGAAGATGACTGAACAAAAGCACGATAAATGATATGTAATGCCCATATCGAGAATGTGAATTTTAATTTTTTAGAAGAGAACAAGACTGGCTTTTGTTTCAAGAGATTGAAAATTGTTTTGGATGTGCTTAAAAATACAGTTTAATGAATGAAAATATATTTTTTAATTGTATTTACTATTTTCCAATTGCACCTCATAAAATTTTTAATTCAATCATTGGTGTTGAACCAGACGTCTTTTGAAGTGGGGTTAAAAATGAATATTAGGAGGGCAAAATAATAATTGTAGTTTTTGTCGAAAGAACATAAAGGTGTAGAAATACGAGATTTGATCATAAGCATTTTGGCCTGGTAGTGCATAAGCATTTTGGTCAGTTTAAACTTAAAAACACAAAATATGAATAACAATAGTAAATTGTTCTTGATATTTTATGTTTTTAATTTCTAACTAGTAATCTAATAAAATAGGGTCATAGGGTGTTTTCTTTGCACATATTATACACAATATATTAACCCACTGATTGTTCTACATGTAAAAAGTCATATTCTAACCTGCATAGAAAAACCACTTTTCCCATGTTATTAGATAGGGAAATAGTGTATTGGGGAGAAATGTTCTCCCAATTTTGCCCATTTGCTTAATCGCCAGTGGGTTAACACACAATAACTGTGCTCTTGAGTGAGCTATATTAGGCTAACTATACTAGTTTCAATTGCAGGAAAAACTTAAAGAATAAGGGAACAACATACTCAAAACAAATAATGCTATAGTAAATGAAATAGTTTAGTATAGCTGAAATATCATCCTTACATGTCCTACTACTGCCTTACATGGCACTTTGAGTGGTCAACACTTTTAAAAGAGGAAAATAAGAAATAAAATTCCCTGCATTTTCCCAGTTTGTAGGAAAAAACTCAAAATTCCCTGTTATTTTAGGTGATTTTTAAATTCCCTTTATTTTTCCAGGTTCTCCCTGTGGAGTTGTAACTAAGAAAATATTAAGGAAAAGACTGAAATTTGTAATATGATATTTGTAATTTTTAACTTATTTTTTACTCCTTAGAAAATAGTTATTACATAACTAAATGTAATTCTTATAAGAAAAAGCAAGCGAGTAATTTTATAAATCTGCCTTTTAAACAAAGCTTAAAAATAAAATCCTTAAAATTTAAACCAAAATTAAGTAACTGTCTTTTCTAAATGATTAGCACAGACAAATGTGAACTTTAGAGCAAAATTATCAGTTTTGTTGTCCGCTGAAGAACAAAAACTTGAAAGTAATTTAACTTATTATAAGTTAATGAAATTTAAAATAACTATTTCTGTATCTTTATATATTAAAAATTATGATAAAAGATTAAAAAAGTTTTATAGATACTTTTTGATAAAATGAATTTACAATAATTAAAGAAAACAATCCAATAACTTACCGTGTTTTCTTCAGATTCTTCATCTCTGGAGATGGGAGATGATGCATCAATTCTACTAGGTATATAGACCTTCATTAAAAGAAAGGTTAATTCTTTTGTATTTGAGTTGTCTTAACAAAATCTAATGAAATTTCAATTTTTATAGTTATTTCATTTATGAATGATACACTAGCTGCAAGCTCTTGACTGCTAGGTTAATGTTTTTTGTGAAGCCATCACAACACGTGATGTTTGTGAGACTCTCTTGAGTAGTATTTGTGTTTAAAAGAAGTCATTTCAAGAATTGCTCTAAAACACTTGTTACCAACTTTGAAACTTAATCCTAAATGATAATTTGTAAAATGAACTTAATATGCTAACGTGTGACAGTGCATGTCTTGCACTCAGTAATAAACAAGTAAAAAGTGGTCAAATTAGAACAGACAAAAATGAGAGTTCTTTCAAAATCTAGCAACCATGTTTTTTAACAATACATCTCTAAATAACTAAAACAAATTTTCAAATCAAACTCACTAGAATTACTTAATATCATTAAATATCTTATGGATACAGCAGATTTGAGCTCAGAAATTACATAATTTATTTCTTTTATTAAAACTAAGATTATCTGTTTAAATATATTGCCTCACGGGATAAGCCATAGTAAGCAGCTGTATACTTTCTAACTGGAAGCAAAACTAGTCAAGAGCTCGAAATTGTTGTTGTTTACATTTATATTGAAAACACTATTCATTACTGAGATGGTTCTTCTGTTATCCGGAAATCAGAAAACCAAAAAACCGGAACGAAATTTGATAAATTTTAACGCCATTTTTAAAACAAAAAATTTTTTTTTTTCCTCAGAAGATTTTAGGATTTTTCTTTCTTTCTTGAAAGATGTTTACCTTACCATAGTTTTGGAAATAATCACTTCATCATTTTTTCTTTTGAAGATTGTTTCCAAATATATTTTTTTTTAGTTAGGTTTAACAATAAAAAAAACGGCTTTTTGTAGCGATTCAGAAAACCGGAAAAATAAGTTATTCTGAATAGCGATGGTCCCGATCGTTCCGGATAATCGGTTCCCTTCTGTACTAGATATAAAATCTAAAATTAGGATCACATAGCAACAGTTCTGACATAAAAACATTCCATATCAAGTTCAAGTTTTAAAAAAAAACTCACTTGCAAGACATTACCCATCAAGGGAAGACTAAGTGGTAAACCGGGTGCAGGATGTGGCCATTGGTCAATATCATGGCAAGCTGAATCAAAATATTTACAATTAGTTGTCATAAATTAAAATGAAACTTAAAAGTACCAAAAATAAACAAAATAAAAAATCTATGAAAGTTTTAAACATAATTTAATTGATGGCCTTTAAATTTATATATATATATATATATACAGTGCAACCTCGAAAATCCGGACTGCTGGGGGGTTTGGAAGGTCCGGATTTTAGATACCTTACTTAAAATGATAGAATTATCAAAGTTTCGAATTCGCCAGGCCGATCTCGCGATTAAACGGGCGTGCATAGACCTCCGACGTCAATATTTATGTTATAACTTAACATAAATATACACTTTAAATAATAAATAAGAGACATTAAAAATCAAACTCTCCCCATCATTTCCCCCCGTAATCGATCATTTAGATAACATAATATTAGCAATTAAAACTAAAAATATAGGCTTTAAACGCTAGCTGAATTTCAACTTATAACTGAAACAGATGCTTCTAGACTAAACTGTACCAGCTAATACTTATCCTTTTTTGTTGGGGGTTGAAAGAACTTGTCCCCACCTCCTAAGCTTCAAGGTTAAGAAAGAACCAGTTTTCTTTCTTCACAAAGGGGGAAAAGCAAGGTGGTAAAAGAATTCCTCTTCCCACAAGCCTTATCTATGGAAGAATATAGAGGGGAATCCCCTATATATTGAAGAAAATAGAGGGGAATCCCCTTTGTATTCTTTGTTATCTATACAGAGCTGATAAGAATGACTGGAATTTCCTTATCAGCTATGAGCTTTCATTCACTCCCCAGCCCTACCTCTTCATCTACTGCTTCATTGTTGGAGTAGAGATGTGGTTTTGTGCTTTTGCATTCAGATTTTTACTTTAGAGTTTTTTTTGTTTGTTTTTTTGGAAACTTTTTTGTGAGGAATTGGATGTAAGAGTCCGGATTTTAGAGATTTCCGGATTACAGAAGTCCGAATTTTCGAGGTCGTACTGTATATATATATATATATATATATATACAGTGAAACCTCCGTTAAACGGACATTCATGGGACCAAAAAATTTGTCCGTTTATGAGAGTTGTCTGTTTATGAGAGTTGTCCGTTTATGAGAGTTGTCCGTTTACGGGAAAGGTACCCTAATAACGAAATTTAACACCGTAAATTTTTTTCAGAATATTCTCAAAGATGTAGAAATAATTATATAATATCTAAAAGGATACTGTTAATATCTACAAAAATATTTAATTAAACAATAAGGAAGATAAAAAAGAATATATAAAGAAGTTTGATATAAATACATAATTCTGGATGTAGCTACAGATAAATAAATATAATTTTTTTATTAGCATAGATACTCAAGTTAGACATATGATAACAAATAGGAGCGTACTGCCTGTAAGTCATGAGGACCTATGGAGATGATTATTCACTATTGACCAGCTATCAAGTGTCTGAATAAATGTTTCATTTATATAAACACCTCAAAGATTATACTTCTGTTCTCTTTTTTTTACCCCAGTTGTGTTAAATACAGTCTTCAAATTGATAAGAAAATTAAAGAAATTTTCAATGGGGAAGAAGTCATTTCAACTTGAGGGGTCTCATAACCTGTGTGGTCCAGATGAAAAGATCAAAAGATGCCGATGTCAGAATAATTTCAGGAGTGCAGTACCATTTTCTCTGCTTTCTTTACAAAGATAAGGCAAGGTGACAGGAGAAAGATTGATTTTTCGGTGGTGAAATAGCTTAACAATATTTTTAGTTATGGATAAGGCAAAAAGTTTTTTTTACATGCTTTAAAAATGGTGAAAAGTTGCATATTTTTAGCTTGCAATTTATTTAGAAAAATTAGAAAAAGTAGTGTCCGGTTTGTAGAGATAAAAAACAACGTTTCAGGACCAGAATGACTGTCCGCGTCCGGTTACGGGAGTGTCCGCTTTGCGGAGAATGTGCGTAATGGTTTATTCATAGAAGATTCCCGGGGAATTAAAAATATGTCTGTATTGAGAGGCGTCCGTTTTGCAGGAGTGTCCATAACAGGTTTCACTGTATATATATATATAATAAATAAATAAATACAAGAAAACACGAAGAAAGTTAAGAAAAACAATAAGTTTCATTTACCGCGCCTAACTGCAAGTAAACAGAACTCATTAGATAAGTTCAAAATGAAGAATAAAACAAAGAAAAATTATAGACATATGAAGAAAAAAAAGGGGGGAAATAATAAGTAAAAAAAATAACAAACCACAGTTTAAAAACAAAAAAAAAGGATGAAATTTTATTTAAAAAACCGGAAGGAAAAAAAAAACGGAAAAAAAGATATAATCTTTTCTATAAAGATATAAAATCGGAAAGAAAAGATTATATCTTTTTTCTTCCAGTTTTTTAAATAAAATTTAATCCTTTTCTTTTTTCTCTTTTTTTTAAATTGTTGTTTGTTATTTTTTTTACTTATTATTTCCCCCACCCCTTTTTTTTCATATGTCTATAATTTTTCTTTGTTTTATTCTTCATTTTGAACTTATATATAGATATATATATATATTTGCTATTATTCTTAACTTTCAACATATATGACACAAAAATCTATTTTTCTTACTGAAATTTCTTTTTTTTTCTATTTCTAAAGTCTGCAGAGTTTGTGATTTCAAGCATTTTACCAGTCTAGCCATTCAATCGTAACAACCTTCATGAAATAGTCAAAATATTTCTGAGTATTCAGGAATCAGACAAGAAGAGAGAATACCTCAATTCCAGTGACCTCTCCCGATATATGTAAGAATATACGTATATATGCATATATATAGTTCAATTTCTATTTAACAAACTTCCATGTAGCAAATTTCTCAATTGTGAAAAAAATAATATTTTTGAGGAATCCTATTTGTTTGCATTTCATACAGGAATCCATGCCAAAAATCAATTAACGAGAAAGCATTACAGAAATTTCCAAAGCATGGCACTATGTTGTTACAGACCATACTATTCGTTTTGGTATGTCTAAAGCTGAATTCTTTGTCAGCTCAAAGAATTTGGAAAGAGAGGAGGACGATACTCCTTCAGAAGAAAAAAAAAATTTTGGGTACAGCTAAAAGAGAACCACGAAATTAATGATTTTGTACTGATAATTGATTTTTTTTTCTATTGATTCTGAAGCCGCAACCACAGGAACATTAACTGAATCGAATTGGACAGTGCAAAAATAAAAACAATACATTAATAAAATGCGAAGATCAAAAAGATGAAGACAGAAATGATGAAGAAATCACCAAACCTTCATAGGATGAAAAGTTAAAATCATTTGAAACAATTCGATAGTAGATAATAATTTACAAGATGAAGGTGTATGAATTGCTGCTTTAATTTTTTCCCAGTGTTAATGAATTTAAAACCTGTTTTGCGTTTGTGTGAATGGTGATTTTCTATTTAACGAATTTTCCATATAAAGATCCTTTTATTGGGATTTAGCAACTTCATTAAATAGAGGTCCGACTATATGTGTATGCATATATACACGAGGTCTGTTCAGAAACTATCGAGACAGAATGTATTCTATAAATTCCAGAAAACCCCTAGCGGTGGGAGTGTGCCCATCATGCACACGCATATTTCACCTCGTCTCACAAAAATCGGCAGGTCTGTACAGCGCGCTGTTCAGTCACACTGACTTCTTTCATGTGGAGTGTTTGCGAGCGTTCGTCGAAAACAAAAAATGTGTGAAAACGCGGAGCAGGGAATCTGTATCAATTTTTGCTTCAAGCTCGGTAAAACGGACACCGAAACCTATGAGATGATGAAAATAGCATTTGGAGATGAGGCGATGAGTCGTGCTCGAGCAGGGTGGCCACTCAAATCAGATTTCAAATTTTCCTGATTTTTCCAGGTTTTCCAGATAAAAATCATAAAATTTCCAGGTTTTTGTTTCTTTTTTCTTATAAAATGTAGGATGTGTACAAGAAAAGAGTCGATATTATAAAATATTTTATTCAAAATGTTATTTTTTTAACATATCACCTTGAGAAAAATAATTTATTTTGGCAATTTGGCAAGATTTTTTATTTAATTTTCAAATGTTTTAGAGGAAAATTTTGAATCAAAAATCCTATATTGACCAACAAAAGAGTAAAATTAAATATTAATATATAGTTGGTTCTTTAAAAAAAAAACATTTTTTTAAAATATGTTATAAAAGGTTAAAATGAAATAGAAAAAAATTAGCTTAATGCAACAATTGTAACGATTTATCGACAAACATTGCTGTTAGCGATTGTAAAAAAATGTGTGATTGGTTGGTTTGCTGAGAAAAAATAATTTACAGATTTCTTTGAATGGGAGTAGAAAAGCTTTCAGAAAAAGAGTGCAATATAAAATCTATTATTATTAAATTATAACCAACAATTTTTGGAGAATTTTATAAAGTTAAAAATACAAAAACATTTTGTCAAAATAGAAAAAAAAAATAACCACCAAAGTATCGGAACAAACTTGAGCCATAAATGGATTCAGCCCAAGGACAGAATTTAAAAACAGAAGCTAATATCCTAATCCCTTTTTCCACCTCCACCAGAATCTTTCCTAAATTGCACAGTCCCATAGCGGTCAAAGGTTTCTACATTCGTTTAGCAACCGTGGGAGAATTTTATGTGGCATTCTAGTTTAACAGAGCTGTAATGGAGCAAATTTTGATGCAAGCAAAGTATCGCTAAGTTGATGATATTTCAACTGTTTGGCGATACATTTCCGTTTAAAAAAAGTGGGTATAATGGATGAAATAATTTAAATTAAGAAAATTAGTAAATAATTTAAATTAGTGAAATTAAAAAAATTATCAAAGAAAAATTTCCAGCTTTTCTTTAAAATTCCCTGATTTTTCCAGGTTTTTATCCAAATTTCCCTGATATTTCCAGGTTTTTTCCAGTATAAAAAAATTCCCTGATAATTCCAGGTTTTCAAGGTTTCAAGGTTTTCCAGGTGGGTGGTCACCCTGTCGAGTTTTCGAGTGGTTTCGGCAATTCAACGAGCGTCGTAAATCAGTGGATAGTGATCCCCGTTTTGGACGCCCATCCACCTCTCGCAATTAGGACAAGATTGCATAAGTGCAGGCTATGGTGCGTTCTGATTGTCGTTTAACAGTCTGAGAAATTGCACAGGAGTGTGGCGTTTTCATAGGATCATGCGATGAAATTTTGAGAAAGGACTTGAACATGCGCCGAGTGTCTGCAAAGCTTGTGCCGCATCTCCTCACTGAGGATCAGCAATTCCAATGACTGGAAATATCATCTGATTTGTTTCGAAGTGCAAGCGACGATCCGGAGTTCATGAAGATCATCATCACTGGGGATGAGTCGTGGATAGACGGATATGATCCCAGAACAAAGCAGCAGTCGTCACAATGTAAAAGCCCCGGTTCTCCTCGGCGAAAGAAACCACGGCAGGTGCGATCAAAGTCATGTTGATTGTGTTTTTCGATGCAGATGGAATTGTACGTCATGAGTACACTCCCCAGGGCCAGACAGTGAACAAGGAATTCTACTTGGACGTCATGAGGAGATTAAGAGAGGTTGTTCGCAGGGAAACGACCGGTGTTGTGGCGTCCTCTCGCTGGATGCTTCATCATGACGGAACCCCAGCGCACACCAGGGAACAATTCAAGTAGCACATCCTCCTTACTCGCCGGACATGTCACCTCCAGATTTCTTCCTCTTTCCCGAGATTAAGAACGCCGGTTTCTGCACATTGAAACCATAAAACAGAATTCGACGCAGCAGCTTCAGGCCATACCTAACAGGGGTCCGTCTAGGTTTTTCTGACAGGTACCTATTTTGTGAAAATTTAGACGTAATTTGTGAAAAATTAAAAATTATATTAATAAATCAACACAAAAATATGGATTTATCGTTTCTTAGGGGATACAAAAATGAAATTTTAAGAAAAAGTATTTTGTGAAACTACCGTTTTTCCTAAAATTGAATTTGTGAAGGTACCGCTAAATGGTAGTAAATTCAGCCTGGATAGACCCCTGCCTAAGTCTGAGTCAAAGATTTCAAGGACTGGAAACATCGTTGGGCTAAGTGTGTTACTGCTAATGGAGCATATTTTGAAGGAGATTGACTGAAAACCTGTTTATGTATGTATGTTTCTGCATAATAAATTCAGTCTTGATATTTTCTGAACAGCCCTTGTGTAAATATATATATATATATATATATATNCTGGAGAACTTTATTTATTTATTTATATTATTATTATTATTATTATTAACCAAATTATCTGAATCTCACAAAATTGCAATCAAGAATTCGATTAATTGTAAATACAAATATTGTGAATTGTATTTACAATTAATCGTGAAATATTGTGAATGTGTGAGTGAAAAATTACAATGTTAAAAGGAGCCTTTTAAAAGGTGAGTCTCGTATTATATGATCTAGTTTTAATGGTTCTGTCACCAACCACAAGTCCCAATGTTAATAAAATCTTCCTGGAGTGTTATTGAAACCAACAGATTCTCATACCTATTGTTCTGAAATTTTACAGACATTTGAAGGAGAAAAAAAGGAAAGAGTTAACTTAAATTTGAGACAAACAAAAAAAAATTACCTCCTGATAATAATGATTAAGAAGTTTTAAAAAAAAAAGGTGAAAATTTCAATTTGGGGAAAACACCTGAAACATCACATTTTATATTTATGCATCAGTTGATTATAATGTTTCAAGAAACGATTGATGAACCAAAAGGAATGCTAAGTGATACAAATAAAGATCGAAAAACGGAACCGAAGCTAGTTCCAGCATCTGCAATAGGCCTTTTAAAACAATGCAACAGGAACTTCCTACATTCACAGAAAATGCACATCCATTTTTTACAAAAATTTATTGTTTGCACTGAGAAAAAAAAAATTTGAAACTAAAATTTCTTGTTGCTGAAAGAATATAAAAATTTTTAATATTTACTTTACTTTGTTCAGTTTACAGATATCTAAATGAGAAATCTTAGTAGAAACTTTTCATTACACAAAATTATAAAATGAATATAAAAACAAAGTAAAATGAGAAAACAAACCTGATTCAAGACATGGTTCACCATTTGAAAAGAAAGAGGGTGCAATTTTTCCTAAAACTTCGGTAAACAAAGAGACAAGTGGAAGCTTTGTTAACAATACCATAGACTAAAAAGATATGTAAATATTTAATTCAAACCTTTAATGACTTGCAAATAAGCAAATGCAAAATAAGACTCACTTTCTGAAAGTAACCTCTCGGAAGACTCTTGTCTTTCACTTGTCGAAAATACACAAACCCCAGATAATGACAAAAATCTATCTACAATTTTAAAAAATATAAGTTATGACATTAAAAAATACCAATTATTGTACTCAAGCAATTATGACACATACCTGAAGGGGCACCATACAAGATTTGTTAAAATCTTCATGAACTTGAAGGTTGGGTCGTCTAACGGGACACTGCCTCATGCGGAAGTAAAACTGTGTATTTCCCATGCAACCGGAATTCGAGTCTGGAAAGGCCATGTAACATATACTTGCTTTCTGTAAAAGGTTAAATAGTAATGAAAAGAGCAGCTCTTATCAATGGGGCTCTCTCCCCTATATGTTTATGCTTGCGCATGCATATATATATATATACAGTCGAACCACGCTATAGTGAACCTGGGATATAGTGAACACTTGGATGTAGTGAACTTTTTTAGCGGTCCCGTCCGTATTCCTATTTAAATAATGTTATTTTTAACGATTATAGTGAACAGCTTAGAACTTGGAAACTCGGTTATAGTGGACTCAAATTTCATTTCTTTAAATATCTTTTTCAGTCCTCCATCTTTAAACTTGTAGGTGTTGGGACTGAAAATGAATGCATTCCTATAAAATGTGTCATATTACTCTCCTTTATGCTTATCACTTTTAACTATACTGTAATAAATGTCAAACAGATCATTTATCTCATACTCCCCCCTCCCTGACAAGCTTCGCTTTATCTCTTTTCCCCAAGCTTGCTCTAGAACTAGTTAACTTGGCCACCTGCTGAATTTTTGGAATTTTCTTATCTTTTCAAACCATATTCTTTACAAATCACCCCTTGACAATCAAGAAGGGGAACAATTTAACTCATTCTACAGCTGCTCTCTTCGTATTCTTACGTTATCTATTTGAGACAAGATTTTTATTTCAAAAGCAGTGAAAATGGCAAATTCTCTAAAGAGAAAAGCGTTTTCGATAGAGGACAAAGTTAAAATTGTAAAGCGTATTGATGATGGAACCAATCAATCGACACTGTGTAAGGAATTTTGCTTGTCAAAATCTACAGTTTCAAACATTTGGAAAAATCGAAGTGCAATTCTTGCGGCATACGACAAAAACATGGTTTCATCGAAAAAACTGCGTGGAGCTGAAAGAGAAAACGTAG